GACTAGGATATTATGCCAGTGGAATTATAGAGTCCAAATCTCACTCTCCAACGGTAATACAGTTTTAAACCAAGCTACTTGGCGACTGAAATAAGGGAAAGAGGGAGAGAGGCTACGACTTTGCCAGAATAGGATATGGCAGTCAAATTACAATGTTTAGAGGCAAGACACCTTAGTCACCAGGAATCGGATGGCTCTAGGACTACAATGATAGTTGTGACAACAACACATCTATGTTTACATTGCTGCATTTGTACGTTACTCGTTGATAGTGTTTAGAAATTTTGGCTATAAATAATTACAGATACTAATAAATTTACAATTTTTTTAACTTGGGGAAAACCCTCATAGAGAACACGGGTACGGTACGGTAGACGGATACTGCCATCTACTCCTAAGCTAAGTAGAGATTGCGTTATGGGTACGAGACAACTGGTGCAAATATTAAAATACATTTTTTTTTTCAATACATAGAAAGATCCAGTTCAATACAAACAGTCATACTCATGAATAGAATCTTTGCACCGTGCGTTAACTTAAACTAATAAATTAACACTCTAAAATATCCTACACTATGTATGTCCGACAGGGTGTAACTTTTGATATACTATATATATTGTCTTACTACTTACAAATTAATGTACCCACACAGTTAGCAATAAAGATATATTCTATTCTATTAATAAATAAGTTTGAGTTTAACACCCCCCTTCCTTCACCCCCGAATCGGCCTCCTACTTCATAAACGGAAAGATCCTACGACCATAACATTTTTATGGCGCTCATAATTTTTTTAACGTCATACATAACGTCATAATCTTTAAATGACAGTATGAACGAATAATAGGTCGAACATGAGATCATGTGCAGCGATAAAATGATGAAATTAGCTTCAATAGAGTAATTGAAGGAGCCGTCGTGAGCTGATGATGGGGTTTTGGGGGATGGACCTGTTGATTTTTTTAGTAATTGGAATGGTAATCAATCTAACAGCCCGCCTGATGGCAAGTTGCCTATATCACATCACGTTATCATGTGACGCCCGTGACCATTCATCAGTTGAGGGCAAGGGGATTGCTGGTATGGTACATTACAGGTATACTTCCACGCGGTTCCGACTGGAAACCATAATGATAAACTGATGGTGAATTTGTCCCGAGGACCTAACTGACCTGCTCTGGCGTTTATACTATAATTCTCCATTGGTGCCCCTCCTGTGTAAACCATTAGCGCAGTCGGGTGCATCAATTTCATTCATTATCATCCACCATAAAAACAAAAAATAACACACATGTGTTAGCGTTCTGGAGAACTAATATTTTAGCCACTAATTCTGTAATTTAATTGTAGCATATTATTCACGTGATGAACTCGAAACAAACGAGTGTTTTCTACCAGTAAACCATAAGGTATACGGAGAATTAACCGTACTACGCATTATAGTTTGCAACTTTACGACCTGAAGTTGAAAACATTATTTTTTATTGTTGCAAACAAAAAACGCGTTTTGGTTTCTAACACTAAAAAGGAATGGCTGACACATACAAACTATATAGAGATGGTTGCTGACACATAATATAAATACGCCAACGCCAACTGTGCGACAATCCTCATAAAAGTACTAGTTTTTTTAGTCTTTAGTACATATGACACATGCATATGTACAGAGGATATATTCATATTCGTCTTTATACGAGATTTGGATTGATTTTGACCCACAAAAAATACTACGATGATTAAAGAGCCATATTGAGGTAATCTGGGAGTTCTTTGACTTCTGAAGCTAAATCTTTTAAATTTGGTCAGCGTTTTATATTCATGCTGTTTGTGTGTCGCCATACAACTTATATTTGTGTAACCCGTGGTTGATATTCGTGTCTAACACTCCGCTTATATTTGTGTAGCCTCCAGCTTATATTCATGTGAGTCGCAGTTTATATTTGTATGGGCTGCAGCTTATATTTGTGCTACACGCAGCTTATATTTGCGTGGCCCGCGACTTATATTTGTGTGACACGACTTATAATCGTGTGACATGCAACTTATATGAATATGTATAAAGCCATAACGTAGTAGTTAAGAAAAGAAAAGCAGTTGAGGCACCACATTCATCACTTAGGTGTTTTATGACCTTGGTAGTGATGGTGAGGAGAGGGTACCACTTTCCACTGTATAAACAGTCAGTTTCGCTTCCATTCGATTTAAATACAAAAATATAATTAGAATTTAAAAGTCCCAAATCCCATAGTACGTTGTATATATCATCCGCGTGACACATTTAGACCATTATAATGGTAATAAGGTTAATTGACATGCTCAATTTAACACACTATGAATAACATCATTAACGTGTCACGCTCGCTTTATGGGGATTGAGTTATTTCATTTGTTGCCGCTGATTTCCATAATTAATGATATTTTGGTACGCTGTTATCGTTTACTCTCCACTAAATACATATTTCAATGATATCTACCAATATTGTTGTAATCATAGTCATTATATAAATATGATAATAGTTGTATGGAGGGGGGAAAGGGGATTGTTAGTAATGTGGACTGATAACCCCATTGCTAGCAATGTGATATGGTACATTGCTAGCAATGGGGTTATCAGTCCACAGGTTGACCTCGCGGTTCGTCGTGAAAAATTCTTGGTGAATTTCTCACTGACCTGACCTTATGCTTCTTTTATCATCGTCCACTGGTGCCCCGCCAGTGTAAACCGTTAGCACAGACGGGTGACCATTCCATTATCATCCATAAAAACTAGTTGTATGGGTACCTATGTAATAAAAAAAATACTAGCTAATAAAAAAAGATACTAGATAATCGCGATCTCCTCTATTTTGTTTTTAAATAATAGAAAAGAGAGGAAACTCCTTAGATATAAGACTATGACTAATCAGTAATCACCTCCTAAATAACACATTAACTTGCGGCTCCTTTGATCTTTATTACTAAAAAAAAAAACTATTTTATCATGAATAATTGATTACTGATTTGTTTAATCCACAATTAAAAAAAAATCTGAGTAGCTCATTTAACATTATTAGATATCTTGTATAAAACATTACAAATGAATTTTAATAAGAGTAAAACCGAAGACAAGGTTTTCTGAGGCTATGATTAACATTATTAAATGTTCTTGATTTGTTATCAAGAAAAACACTCACAAACACAAGTAATTGGAATAGCAGAAAAGCTTACTGTCTGATGGCAAGTAACCTTTGCTATTGCCATTGAACAACATTCCCAAAGATTAAGAGTTGAGTTTCTTGTCAGTTCTTCTAAGCTCAACAGCATATAACAAGAGTCTGTAATAGACCTAAGTACATGAAAAAAAAACTTTTTATTTGATTTGAATTAAGGGTTTTTAATTAAGTTTTCTTGGGTATCTTTAATTAGGATCATGACGGTAGCAAAATCAGCAACCCCATTTGGTGGAAGTTTTTACAAAATAAAAGAAGAAGAAAAAGAATTAAGATACAGAAATTTTTTGAAATAAGAATGCAGATATTTTCCGACAGTGACCTCATTTGGTGGCAGCTATTCAAATAAAAAGAAGAACAAAAATAATTAAGGATACAGAAAAATTTTGAAATAAGAATGCAGATATTATCAGACAGTGACCTCATTTGATGGAAGCCATTCAAATAAAAAGAAGAAAAAGTATTAAAGATACAGAATTTTTTAAAAATAAGTATTCAAATAATATAAGACTTTGCCTTGACCATATATTTCTTAGTTTTAATAGAAAGGGCTACCTACAATGTGTACAATATTATTTGATAATATCTTTAATTTTAGCATGAAGGTCACAACGCCTGTTTGTATTTACCTAACCATGACCTTTTAAGAGTCTTACTATTAATGAATTTACCTACAAATATGTCCATAATATTCTGATATTTAGAAATAGAAAGAATATAGAGTATGCAGGGGTAAAGGGTGTAAAAAAATTGTTATTAAAGTGACCCCCATTTCTTGCAATGTACCATCTCACGCTGACCTTCATGCAGGTCCTTTTGGAAACCATCATGATAAGGTAGTAATGAATTCGTTACAATGGGCTAACTGACCTGACATCATACTATGTACATTCTAATGGCTTAACCAATTTTGATGAAATGTATGCTCAGGTTGTAGCAAAACTATGAAGATTCTGATAGGTAAATCTGATAAAAAATAGTATCTTGATTATAATTGTATATTGAAACTTAAAATATAACTCATTAATGGTTTAAATTAATACACATGGTGTTTTTGCTGACCAAATGCAAACTGATTTTGAATGAAATATGAAATGTAAAATAAAAAGTTAGTGTTGCAAACTAATGTACGATGCTAGGTCCTGGGTGCGAAAGGAGATGTGAATGGCGATGCTTTGGTGTTAATGACATTAATTATTACTTACAAGATGATCTACAATTATTTCTTATGAATAACATGGTAATGATTTTGTTCAATAATTCAAGTGATTTAACAAAAAGATACAATACAAAGCTTATTCTACACAGGTGCATTAGGGATAGGGATTATTATTATTCAGTAGATTATAAGTTATCTAATTTTTATACCCCTAAGTGATAGGGGTGGATCATACTAAACAACTTCTTTTTATTTCTTAAATAAACAAAATTTTGATTTTTATATTATACTTCGTTTAGATTTCTGTTTTGTTTAGTTTGTATTTATATATATATTTAATGTATATTAATATTTATGTTTGTATGATCCATCCGGCATAAAAAATACAAATATTCTTAAATTTTAACCATTCCATCATCATCCTCTATTTTTTTTTTGCAATATTACTACTTCAATTTAAAATACAAAACAATGTTTGCAGGGTTAGTAAGATAAAAAAATAACTATGATAGATATGGATTGTTAATAATGGGAACTAGTAGTGTAACCTCTGGAATCCCAAGCCCTACTTAATACTAATTCTTTATTTTTTTTCTATAGTAACTCAATAAAATAATTCATAAAATACTTACAGCAAAAATTGTATTTTGTAATCCAAACGGTATTGGAGTAAGCCTTGCAAAGAAGACTATCTTGAAGGCTTGAGGGCCAGATATCACTTTAAGCAGTGCTCTGGCCGTCTCATTATTGAGAAGCCAGTCTATAGGTAAATATTGCCGCAACGCTCTTAATGTGTAATGCGCTATCGCCACACCAAAGTTTGCACTCACCAAAACTGTACCCAGTCCTTTCAGTATACCAAATAAATAACCACTAGTTATAATTAACACTAAATATCCGATAGTCACTGGGAAACTCACTAGTAAAAATAGTCCTATACATAATAAAAATATTATCCACGGATCCTGCGCGTCCACCCACAACAAAATCGTGTTCAGATACTCCTTGAAGAAGTACAGCACCAACACCAAACATGTGAGCAACAAAAGTGATACAACAATGTTAAACAAATAACTGTATATCGTTCTATTGTTGATTTTTGACCATAGACCTTTTTTTCTTGTAACCGCGTTCGGGTCAGGCTGATGACATTCTTCGACGTCTATTATTTCCATTGTTATTTTAATAGATGAATTAAAAACAATTTATTTGAGACTGCTCGTTGCAGTTTCATTTGAGTCGGGTCTCGCCATGGTCTACTTTCAGAAACTGTTTATTATTAATAAACGATCGGCACGAATACATCTCAATAGATGATGGAGAATTGTAGAAACAAAATACAACAATAGTGTTAAAGCCGACGACAGAATATAACGAAATTTCCGAGTCAACTGGCAGCAAATGTCAGTCAAATTGACAACTGTCAAACTATGTAGAGTTACCAGTTTTAGTATGGAACTGTGCTATATTTCGCTACTTTAGAAGTAAATGAAGAAATATATTTTTTTACTATATAATCCCATAACATTGATATGACGACCGATAGAGAGCAGTGGAAGAGAATGACATACTGCGCCGACCCCAAATGAGGGGATAAAGGCAAGGCAATGATGATGATGATAAATCCCATAACATCATTACAGGCACAGATAACATAATTGTTACAGGTATTAATATATTGTTGAATGTTTACTTAATTATAGCACTATATTTATCTATTTTATAAATATATTATGTATCTAATAATTGAATAAAAGTATAACACAGATACTATATGAAACTCCAAGAAAAAGAACAACATGAATAAGAACATTTTTCAATTCAATAATAATTTGTATCTATTTAATGAATAACGAATTAGAATACATGTAATTTAATGGAAGATTTTTTATTGTAAATTCAATATAAAAAAAATCATCAGTAATAAATATATAAATTCTGCTGCAGAAGCTTTCATCTGTCTTATTGACGATTAATGCTTATGGTGAAAGTTTAAGACTCAAATGAAACTCATAGCAACTCGTTAACACTTTGGCAAATATTCTTACGCGACAAGTGGCAATATTACCTGTAGATAAAAAAAATTGCCTGTTTTCCTAACCCTGCGTGTTTCTATATTTTTTTACTTGCTACGTGTATTTTACTTCTCTGTATTTTTATGAAATTATAAAAACTGTATATATAATAAAGCGATTAGTTAAATCGCGCTTTATCTATGTGTTATGTGATATTTGTTATAAGTTAAAAAAAGAACATAACCATGCCACCCAAGAAACCTAACGCATCGAGTAAGAAAACGGAGCAGAAGAAGAAAGAAAAAGTTATTGAGGTTCGTTCATATTGGTGTTCATCAGTTTGAAAATATTTCCATAACAATAACTTAAGAGAAATGAGTTAGTATGGACTTATTAATTTCAAGTTATTTTGCCGTCTGTTGCCTTAAAATGCCATATGCAAAATAATAATAAATATAATAAACATAATTACAATTAATTCCAAATTTTAATTTAGTTTTTTATTGGCCGTAATTAAAAAAAAATAGATCATTTTGGAATAGATTAAAACCTGTCTGTGATTCTCATAGGTGCCACCCGCTAGGTTATAAGACAGTATGTTAATAATTAAATATATGTACTCTATGGAATATAATGTATTGTGATTTTTGGTATATCAATAAAACCTGTTAGAAATTGTAGTATTCAAAACATAGATAACTCCTGTTTGTACTAACTATTTTACATATCAAATCAGGTTGATGATGCTTGAAATGAATTCTGATTATGACATAATAAATTAAATAATCTATATTTATTATTTCTTGTATTTATAAAAGTTTTAAAAATATAAAGCAAATTAATAGCCCAAAAGAATGGGTGAGAGTTTAAATTTAGAAAATGAAATTTATTTGCCTCTTTTTGTGAGAGAACTTTATTTATTACCAATTAGAAGTGCTTTTTGAACTATTTTAAAATATAAAGATTACTTCCATTCTATTTCAGCAATGTTTAATATGTGTTTCGCTGTTGCCTAATTTAATATGTGATATTTCACATTTGGTAGGAGTATCTGTATAGTACAATATTAGCTGCACTGTTTGTAAAGAATATATTGTAATAGCTATGTCACACTATACATTTTTAATTATAATTATATATTAAAAATGGTTTTAGGACAAAACTTTTGGCCTCAAAAACAAGAAGGGAGCTAAACAGCAGAAGTTCATCCAGCAAGTGGAAAAACAGGTGAAAAGTGGAGGTATTCACCCTGCCAAGCCTATGGAAGACAAGAAGAAGGATAAGGAACAAAAGATGAAAGACCAGAAAGAACTTGCTATGCTGTTTAAACCTGTACAAACTCAAAAAGTTGAGAAAGGTAAATTGTAATTCAAAATATATATGTATATTATATTACTAGCACATCTGGCCATGTGTTGCTGTGGCTAAAGTTCTTGAATAAAATAATATTGCGACTATAAATTGACTACATACAATATACTATATTATAAGCATTACTGTTGGGTGAACATAAACATATATAGTGTATTCTGAGGTATAAGCTATATTACTGTAATGTTTCATCCTTAAAGGACCATACATAAGTTTTACCCTTAAGGATTTAAAGTAAAATAGGGATGAAAGTTTGTATGGAAATTCATCATTTTTTAATCTAGAACAATGAAATTTTTTTTCTTTGGATTTTTTCGATTTGATTAGTGAATATTTATTCTTTATTTGTTTAAGGTCACTATTCCACACGGCTAGTAATTTATAATTTAAAGCAGACCCGACCACGCATTGCTGTGGCTAAGGTTAAATAATATTGTGACTATAAATTGAGATGTAAGCTATCCTATCTTTCAAGTTGGATCAAATTGCAAGCAATGTGGAAATCAAATTTGCAAATCAGTTCAGGAGTTTAGGAGTCCATCACGGACAAACAATGTGACACATAATTTTTGTATGTAAAGATTACGGATGCCATTACTTGACAGTTGAATACCTCAATCATAATGTCGTAAATATTAGTTTTAATTTATGTGAAACTGGCTGTACCTGCGATGTCTTCTACATCGAATAGTAATCTTGAATAGCATAAAACATTTAATAATCTAACCCAAAAAAGCCAATGAAATAGTTTGATCATTCCAGCTTAACTTTAATCCCCTATTTTATTTTACCCCCTCAAGGGTAAAAGTTTTATAAACTTTGAACTTTATATTTAATCCACAGCCAAAAAAATAATTTTCAACCTCATAGCTTTAAGAGCTACGATACTTCCATACAACCTTTCATCTCCCCTTTGAACCCTTTTTTCGCATTAAATAGCCTATGCCCTTCCTCAGAGTCTAGACTTATCTGTGTACCAAATTTCTTTAGTCAGTAAATTTAGTTATTTAAATCAGTTTAGTAGTTTTGACTTTAACATGCGACAGACAGAGTTACTTTCGCATTTATAATATTAGTAAGGAAGTAAGGATTAAAACCCATGATAATGATGTAACTAGGACTTTTTTATGTAACTGGAATGAAAAACATGCTGAAATTGCACCTGATGGACCTGTAACTGTTACCTAAAGACGTGAAAGCAATAACTGTTCCCTGAAGACGTGAATGGCAATAACGGTTGCCTAAAGACATGAATGGCAATAACTGTTGCCTAAAGACGTGAATGGCAATAACTGTTGCCTAAAGACGTGAATGGCAATAACTGTTGCCTAAAGACGTGAATGGCAATAACTGTTGTTTAAGACTTCAATAGCATTAACTGATGCCTAAAGACGTGAATAGCAATATTAGTGGTCAGGTGGGTTAATTAATTTTTTCTTTTTTAAAGCATAAGTGGATAAGTGCTAGTGGCATCAACAGGTAGAGGAAAAAAACAATGATTAGGAGGGAGAAGAATGGGCTGTCTGGACTACTCTGGACTACTAATGCCTAATGTGGTAACACTTTAACTACATTACTTAGCTTTAGTGTTTTCTGTAGGTGTGTGGTAATTATCAGTTCACGTTGGTCCATCCATACTGCAAAAGCAGACCTATGCAGTATGGGTTGTAGGTCTACGATGAAAAAAATGTTTGCAATCATTAGTGTTAATTTTTTTTTTATTTCCTTTCCAGGCACGGATCCAAAGTCAGTGGTGTGCGCATTTTTCAAGCAAGGCCAGTGTACCAAGGGGGACAAATGTAAATTTTCACATGATCTAACAATTGAGAGAAAGGTATTATAATTTTATAGTAATATAATTTACTAGATGTATCAGTGACTTCGTCCGTGTGGAATTTATCTTTATTTTTCTAAAATAAAAGTAGCCTAATTTACTCCTTATTACATCAGTTACCTGCCAATAAAAGACCCGTCAAAATTGGTCCAGCCATTTCAGAGATCAGCCGGAACAAACAGACAGACAGACGTACAAAAATTGTAAAAATTATTATTTTGGTGGTTGGTTTTATCTGCCGTATTTATATTCATATGCATGTAGTAAAAAACGGTTATTTTAATATTATAAACAGACACTCCAATTTTATTTATATGTATAGATTATGTAAGAGAAAGGTAGTTCAGATTATGCTGATTATATTATTATATATCTCTATTGTCTTAATAATTGTAATAATAATAATAATAACGTATATCACAATACAGAAAGCATTCAATACAGAAGTCGCAAGTACTACCTGTAATAAATAAAATTAACATATAACTAATTTTAGATTATAAATTATATAGTGTTTTCAAGTAGTGTTCTTATATATTTTAATCGTAAATTATATATTTTAATTTCCAGGCTGAAAAACGTTCACTTTACGTGGATATGCGTGACGACGATGATAATATGGACAATTGGGATGAGGATAAGTTAAAAGAAGTTGTGGAGAAGAAACACGGGGAAGACAAACAGAGGCCCACTACAGACATCGTTAGTAAAAAATTATTAATAACCAAGTGGATTTGTATTATTTTGTTTAATTCCGCAACCATTAGCATGTGTGAGACCACAAATATTGAGCGCGGAAACCTGACCACCGCTACTGAAAGTGTTATGACTTTCTCTACTAGTGATCAAATTCCGGAAGCTATTGGATCTACGCTCTTATTGCGACACGTGTTGCGCCTCAAAATGGGGCATCATCGAGCAATGAATCTAGTTCGGAAGCTTGAAAGCCTAGTGTTGACTGTTCTGCAACCAGACTATATTATTTAGTTCAAATATAACACGCGTAAAAAATAATCTATTTTTATTTTACAGATTTGCAAACATTTCCTAGAGGCTGTAGAAAAATCAAAATATGGATGGTTCTGGGAGTGTCCTTCCGGGGGAAAATGTATATACAGGCACGCTTTGCCCCCAGGATTTGTTCTCAAACGAGACAAAAAGAAATTGGAAGAAAAAAAGAATGAAATCTCTCTTGTTGACTTGATCGAACGAGAGAGAGCAGCATTAGGGTCGAATCAGACTAAGATTACGCTGGAAACATTCCTTGCATGGAAAAAGAAGAAGATTAAGGAAAAACATGTAAGGGTTGTTTAAATTACTATAATATACTAATTACATTTCTGCTACTAATGCAGTCAGGAAATTTTCGAGTTATCCATTACTAAAAACGAAAGTTTAATCTTCTCTCATTATAATTTACGACGGACTGAACCGAGGCAGGGGTTGGCCTTCAGACATTCCATAAGTCTTCGCCGGTATGGAAAGCCATCTGCACTCGCCCCCTATCGTTCGATGAATTCGTAATTTACAATAGTACTAAAAAATTATTTTTTATCTGCCTTCAGGTTTACGACTGTAATCAGATCTGATAGTATTAAATTTAAAAGTATAATAATAAAATTGTCTCTACTAATATCCAGGACGCGATGACAAAAGCGGAGGAGCAGCGGCGGAACGACTTCAAGGCGGGCCGCGCGGTGGGGCTGTCGGGCCGCGAGATGTTCTCGTTCGACCCCGCGCTGGCCGCCCACGAGGACGACGACGAGGACGGGGACGAGGCCGTCGACCTGCGCCGCTACGAGGACCACGACGACGCCACGCACTACCGCGACATAGAGCTCGAGCTCATCGGCATGGAGGCCTCGGAGGTACGTGTCCGATGTCTGGCGGCCGACGACGACGAGACCATCGAACTGCGCCATGACTAAATGAGGACAGATATGAACTTTAAAGTTATATGGCATAAGGGCTAGTTTATAAAAAAACATTTTTAACGTTTGTTAGAGTTTAAATATATAGTTTTTTGATTGATCCGGCTCGAAAGGCCAGATGTTAAAACCTAAGTCCTAAGGGTACCATAAAACAAAACACGTGCATATAAAATTTATTAGTCTGCTCAATTTAGGTACAAAAACTTAATAGTATAAGTAACATATGATATTTTCAACAAAACAAAACTAGCGCTTTGTAACGTTTGTACAGCGTCGTCTAATGACGTTGCAGGAAAAAAATAATATTTTATCAATAACCTGTCATTTTTTTTTCAAGAAGGGTATATTAAGGTTTCTAAAGGATCGGCTACTCGCATGTGACACCCCTCGTATCTCACGTCCATAGGCTACGATAACAATTTACCATCAGATGGGCCATATGCTTGTTTGCCATGATCGAAGTATTTAAAAAAAATAAACTCAAACACAGTCAGTCATGACAAAATACACCCACTGTATTACTTCTTTTTTAAGAATATCTGGCTTTTCGCTTATTTTTAAGTATATTTAGTACAGTACAGTGGGTACACTGTTTACTTCAACTTTTTTAAGCATGTCTAGCTTTTCAGTTATGTTTAATTTTAATTGTATTGATGTTTGTGTTCAGGTGGACGACTCCGGTACAAAGGCGACCGACGACAGGTTGCAGCAGCTAAGTCACGACCTACAGAATGGAACCGAGCCCGAAGACTCGGAAGCGGCGCCCGCCGACTCAGGCGGCGCGGTGCCCATCAATGAGAACCTTTTCCTCGACGAAGATCTCGATGAAGAGTTGCAGAACCTAGATCTTGAGGATTAGTGATAAGGAATGAGGAATAGGATACCAGACAGTAATGCAACTTGCTTAAATATTATTAAAATTTTATATAAATAAATGACGCGTCCAAATTATGTAAAATTTTGCGGCAACTGATAGTGTGATCTTGTAATACATATCCCTTTTTACTCGAAAGTCTACGGATACGTCAAAATATGAAAATTATGAAAATATTGTCACTTATTATTTTATATTTACTCGATCGTTGAAGAGAGAAGTTCGATGCATTTTTCACCTGTATAAAATTTGGAGCCACGGATTATTCTGATGTATAAGCTATATTACTGAAAAATTTCATCAAAATCCTTTTAGTCTTTTCATGAAATAGTAACAAACGCCCATCCCTAAGATTACACTAGGCCATATTGGTTGGTTGGTTGGTACAAAATTTGTTGTAAACAAATTATTGTAACAGAAATATCATGTGAAGGTATCTATATTTAGGGTATTATTAAATCACCTGGAATAAGTGAAGAATGAATTCTATGGCATGATGTAAGTACATGAGAGATTAGAATGTTAATACTAAAAAACATATAATTTTGAGATTTATGGTATCCATAAACTTAGGATTTTATAATGGTTTTTCTACTTTCTTACTTTATTACTTTATTTTGCACTTAGCTATAATATACCGCTTAATCTGCGTGAATTTAGAATTGCATTACTATCTGGTAAATTACATCTAAGTGTGAATAATGTATTGAATAAAAATATATATTTGTTGAAATAATAGAAATCTTTTATTATAATATCCATTTACATTGATTAACATTGAAGCTTAAAGAGTACGTAAATACATGGAGCGATAATAGAATCAATAACCAGTCAATCGATCTTCAAAGTCAATGATCGTTTGGCAGAAACGTATTATAACTGTTTTTACACACGCTCTTTCACGCAGGAAAGAGTGTGCATGTAAATGTAGACAAAGAGAACGAGAAAGACCGCGCGCGCAAACAGTGAGCGCATTCTTCAATAGCGCGTACTTGAGCGACTTTCTTAATAATTGATTATAATTCCAAAATGGCGGACATTTGACTATGAAGCAGAAATATAATTATAGATTTTAAAACTTCGGAAAAAAGTGAAAAAAAATGAAAGAAATTGAAATGACTTTAATTATACGCGTTAAAGAGTAAAACAAAATAGTTAAAATACATGGTTGCGCCCGCTGGCTTTCCCGCGCTCAATCACGCGCGCTCTTGATTGAAATTATGAAGAAGAATAAATGAATGAATTAATCTTTTTTATTTAATTCGTTTTTAAATTAATTTAAAATCGCAACGGTATATAATATTTGTAATTGAAAAATATTAAAATTTTTTGCGATGCTTATATTAAAAATATTAAAAATAATAATAAAATATGCAGCTTTACGGGGTCGGATTAACCATGTCGGGTCCTCCATTCCTTATAGAAAATCGAAAACCAGTAAAATAATACTTGTTGTTCAGGAAACAAATTTTCTCTTAAAAAGTTTATTCTGAAATATTTTCATATATTTTATACGTGCCAAAGCCCATTCGATGCGGGGTCTTTAGGCAATTGCCTACTCTGCTCTGCGCCATGGTTAATCTAGCCCCGATGACAGCCTTAATGAAAAAAAAAAATAGGAAAATAATAAAAATGAAATCTGCGATACTATTTTTAGTCCTGCATGGTTGGCATAGCTAACCATTGCGCTGGGTTTCGAATGGTGATCGTATCGATTACGTCCAAAGAGAAGCCACGAGTTTTCATGCGAGGGATCACGTTCAAGAGGATGTGATGATAACCATGCCCACCAAATTTCGTCTGAAATATTTTTTTGACACGTTTTAAATAAAGTATCTACATTCATCTTGTATATAACTCATTTTTCTAAATCGATTAGGATAAAATAAACACAAATATGAATACTGATAAATATAACAGTAACGAGGACACGAGTCCCTATTACAAAATCCCTCCACCTAACTATTGTTAAATTAGAATGTGTTTTCTAATCATTTCGATAATAGTACCTATTATAGTCCGCGCTAGAGACATTGGACTGTGGAGCCAATGCTTCTGGACGTAGACATGTATTGAAAGGATATAAATTGTAATTTACTAACAGTTTATAAGTTGTTCACTAACATAATATGGATGCATATCTGAATTAAATGAATATAAATAAAAAAAAATTATTAAAAATACTCACCAATCTATGTTTGGTGTGTATGTCGTGAGACATCAATATTTTTTCCTCTTTCTTCTCATCGACTAACAGTTTAATTTTATCCAGTCTTTGGGCATCGGATGGCATGTCAATTGACGCGTTCAGCTGATAGTATGATACCTCGACTCCGAACAGGTCAAACTGACAGTACGTACCCAGTTCAGCGAACTCAAGAAGCTTCTGGTCTTCCAGCAACGTGCCTATTACAAACAGGTATAAAGTTTATTTTATAATAATTCACACAGCGCCATCTAGACCCAAGCTAAGTTAGCTAAAGCATGTGTTATGGGTACTAGATAACTGATACAAATATAATACATAGATATTATTTTCGCGACCATTGGAAGTAAGGCGGTGTGTAACCGTTGGACCACCGCGGCCGTCCACCATGTGTTAGGACAATGAGTCTAGTACCACATTGCCCTAACACATGCTTACAGTGGGACTAGATGGCGCTGTGTAAATTGTCTGGGGTTATTATTATTATTTCGTTTTGTCACACTGTCGATCTGCTCCCCCCTTTAACGTGTGACGTAGGTAATTTATCTAGGCACAGATAACGTAATATGATACTCACGGTCTAAATGTGACATGACTGCTTTGTTAACTTTCCCGCCAGCTTCTAAATACAGGCGTATGATCTCGAAGGGAGCTTCGGGATCGCGGTGTGGGTGAAAACTAACACCGCACCCAATCTCCTCTTGTAGCTCCCCAGTAGCCTGGATTGCTTTCCGCTCACTATCTGTTATCATTAATTTATTTCAGTGTACAAGTAATAATTTGAAAATATATTGTCTGTCTGTGTACGTATCTGTTTGTTCTTGTTAATATCCAATTGACTGGGCCGATTTTGACAAGAGTTTCACTTGCAAATAGTATTTTGAATTATAACTTAGGGTACTTTTATAGAAAATTTATTATTTAAATTCAACAAACCCCTCAGCGGCCATACACTGGCGATTTCTCCTATAAATCCAGCCTTGACTGTATCGTCTTCGGAACAGCCGATCGTTAATTCATTCCGCATGTGTTTGTACATTTCTTCCGTCGAAGAAAACTGTAGATTGCATGGTAATGTATCAGAGATGTAATATCCCGTGCCTGCCACAACATTGACACCAGTCTTTTCAGAGCAATATTTGTAACGTGATACGTTCCTATCCAGGCCCTCTGTCGAATTTTCCACGATTGTTCCTATAAACAAAAAAGAGTTCAAGTGTATGTCAGACTCTTAGACCAAATTTTAACAGTTTTATGTATGATTTTTTTATAATTATATATCTGATCGATCTACAGATTAATTTAAATGGAGATCGAAATTACGATGGCCACAGACAAGTTTCGAACCTCTAGCGGTGCCCAAAACTAAAGTCGTATCCGTTAGGCAGAACTTGGCCTACGGCCGCTCCATGAGTCCTTTCGCGGGTTTGGGGTGCGATCGGCAATTTATGAATCTGTGAAGGCTATATCCAGCTGCGGCTAAGAGCATTAGAGTAAATATAATAGATCTGAAAAAAGGGGATGAGGGAGGGATTTTTAAAATGGAGTCTTAAAGAGTATTAAGGTTTCAGGGCAAATAGATAGCATCAAATTATTGATATCTGGTAAATAAATCACGATGAGTAATAAATCACTGACCTGACTGACTTTATCGTCGTTGCATTATTTTCCACTAGCATCTCGCCAGGTTATACGGTTACTTTATGGCAGAACCATTCTATTATCATTAAGAAATAATACTTGCATTTTCAGGACTAGATGTATCAATAACAAATAAAATATTGAATATTTCCTCTCTAATTTACTAACAAAATTATTTGTATTTCAATTATACAATCATTATCTAATATCTAATTTAGAATTCCAATATGTCTACATAGTAGTTCTAAATTTACTGATAACATTATTTTTATTTAAGTTCTATAATAATTATCTAATTTCGAATTCTAATATGTCTACATCATAGTTCAAAGCTTACTAACAACATCATTTGTATTTCAATTATATAACAATAATTCTAAATTGAATTGTTCTAAATTAGATAACTATCGCCATAAACATAAACTTACCTCCTCCTAATTTTTTAAACATATGGACGTCTGACGTTATACTTTGAAAAGTTTCGTTGTCGTTAAAACATAAATTATATTTGCAACTGTAAGGATATTGTCTTAAGTACCCTACATTCCGAATATCAATGTCCCTGTTCAGGTACTCAGCTATGGATTGTGGTGGTTTGCGGTAAAAGTGATTGAATTCCATTCCCAAGTGTTCATGTGGTAGTGTAAATCCCAAAGATTCAGGTTTCACATCACCTCTAACTGAAAATGACATTAATGACATATTATTAATAGCTACAGATCTTTATATATAAAAATTACGTGTCACTGTGTTTGTCCGCGATGAACTCCTAAACTACTGAACCGATCTGTAATAGACCTACATGAAAAAAGATATTTTGAATTTGAATTTGAATTTTGATTGCAAATTTGATTGGCACATTGTGTGCAATTTGATCCAACTTGAAAGATAGGATAGCTTACATCTCAATTTATAGTCGCAATATTATTTAACCTTAGCCACAGCAACGAGTGGTCGGGTCTGCTTTAAATTATAAATTACAAGCCGTGCCCGCGACGTTGTCCGCGTGGAATAGTGACCTTAACCATATAAAGAATAAATATTCACTAATCAAATCGAAAAAATCCAAAGTAATAAATTCCATCATTCTAGATTAAAAAATGACGATTTTCCATACAAACTTTCATCCCTATTTTATTTTAACTCTTTAAGGGTAAAACTTATGGATGGTCTTTTAAGGAAGAAACATTACAGTAATATAGCTTATACAACAGAATGCACTATATATGCATATATATGTTCACTCAATAGTAATGCTTATAATATATTAGTAATGTCATTGAATCGCTATAATTCTCGTATTTGAATTATGTAGTACTTTAATTATAAAATAATACACCATAAAATAATTAATGTAATTGTAAAATAGTCAACTGAAGTGTACACATACTGTATATTACGGTATCCGCGTTCCCAAGATACAGGTCTGACCTAGGTCAGACCTGTATCTTGGACCTGTAGTCCCCCCTGTAGTACCTAGTTTGGGGACTACAGGTCTACGGATAATAGAAATATAAAAAATGTGTTGTAGTAATTATGTAAATATAAATCTGTATATATAAATGTAAATGTTAATCTACATAAATAAAAATAATAAATGAAATACTTTGTGTTATTTTGATGTATATTACTATATATTACTTTGTTTGCAGAACAACAAATAATAAATTTCATACGGATGAAACCGCGCGCACAACTATATATTAATATTTAGTAATATATCTAACTTAAAATTCATAGCGCTGACAATGTTATCTGATTGAACAGAGATTGAGTGCGTAGCAATTGTCTTAATTAACAACAGGTAATTTATTTATTTAAAAGAGCAATACACAAGTTTCTTGCTTATACTTCTTGTGATGAATCTGCATTCCGGATAAGCGGTATAATCAAAAAACTATTCAAAAGTGCTTATATTAAGTTTATTTGATTAACGATTATTTCTTTCTTTATTTCTTATAATTATATGAACTTACCAGTTTGTACTTTTTTCATGTTCACAACACGTAAATACGTATATAAAAAAATATATCACTATATTATATTGCCTGCTTAGAGACACAAATAGGTTTATCTTGTTTGTACTAACGCAACGTAGTCGCTTGACGTTATATTACTCAACAAATAATTACAAATATGACTACTTGTTTTGTCTATTGAGAAAATAAATCAATATATGGACACTAAATGAATGTCGAACTAATTTATTCTTTACTTAATTGAATAATTAAGTATTAATTACAATTGACACTTTTAATTAGATAAATAAATCAGTTGCACATCCATATATACGGCAAGAGATGTAGAGACTGAGTGAGAAGCGCAGAGATCGAGATACCGAGTCGAATAGTGTAAGTATACCATACCCTTATCAAACGCAATAAAATGAATCATTATAAACTACGCAGCTAAGATATAATACAATTTTTAATAATAATTTCTTTTATAATCTCAGGACAATAAACACCATCTAGTCCCAAGCTAAACTGAGCTAGTGTTTGGATACTAGACAGCTGATATAAATATATAGATTTTTTTAAAATACACATATTAGAATAATACACCCAGACCGATACAAACACCCACACTTATGACTACAAATGTGTGTGCCGTGCGAGGAATCGAACCGGCGACCATAAGAAGTAAAAATATGTTCTAAACCGCTAGACCACCAAGGCCGTCGACAATTAGCGACATAGTTTTGTTCACAATAGATCTGTTTAGTGATCTTTTTAATACTGAATAATATACAAAAACTCCTAATAAATAGTCGTATCCGTCAGGCTGGAGTTGGCCAGTTCATAAGTCCTTCCGCCGCATTGGAGTGCCATCTGCACTCACCCCCTATCGTCCGGTGAAGCTGTAAAGGCAAGCTGAGGCCAACAGTATAAGGTAGTCCGAAAAAAAAGCTAGTAGGTACTTCGATGAGTGAACTTAATGTAATATAATACTAGGTACCTAAACTATTCAGCGACAGCGGCATGTAAAAGCGAGGTGAAGAGGTGAAACCAGCTGTAGCTATTTAGATCTTTACATAGTGTAAAATGAAGTCGCTTTCTCTGTCTATTCGGTTATATCTTTTAAATTATGCAACGGATTTTAATGCGGTTTTCAGCAATAGACAGTGTGATTCAAGACGAAGGTTTATATGTATATAATGTAATAATACATGCTAGTTATTGTATAGAATAGGCCGAGAACTTCAATGATTTGTGTAATGCATCCGTCCGAAGCCGGGGCGTGTCACTGGTTATGTATATTATGCAGAGATATTTACAGATGTGAAGTATATACATAAAAATATATTAAAAGCAGTTGATTCGGTTGCGAATGACAAGGCTGTTATTTTTCTCAGCATCGTAACTAGGCTACGGTGTTGCCGCGTGAAATAATTAAATTCGACACTAATTTAAACCTATGAACATAATTGATATGGGATAAGAAGGCATGAATAGCAATGTATGAGCAGGCCATGAGCGTCAAAATTGACAGGGAATTCATCCCCACAAGCTGAAGCCTATGTTGTCTCGACAGTGCGGAAGGGTATAAGGTTATAGGGATTTTAAGGCTTCTAAGGGTCTTCAATGCGAGACACCTCTGGTACCAGACGTCCATAGGCTTCGGTAACCGTTTACCATCAGATGGGCCGTATGCTTGCTTACCACCATCATAGTAGGTATACAAAAAATGTACTTTTTGATGTCCGTGATGCTATATATGTGTTGACGATGTCTACCATTTTCCATCAGATGAACCATTAGAACCTTTGCCATTTCAGTTAAACTAATGTTTTTAAATTGTAGGCATTGAAAAAATAATTGTAACTGGTAACATTTTTATTACCATGACGACATTCAAGTATTTGTTTATTGATAAAATTTTCATTACTATAGTGAAATGCAGTGGAATATTAATACTAGTATAAAGTACACTAGTTTTACATTGACATTATAAATAGGAAGTTTATATACCACGAGAATTTAGATACTTCGATTAGTCATGTCAACATAGTGTTGTATTTTGAATTAAAACGGAATTATACCGATTATAAGCATACAATAAACAAAAAAAAACTACCTATATAGGTATTTGACGGATAAAAGATATGAATGATTTTATAACTAAAATATTCTTCTAATATTTAATAGTTTCATGACACTTTGGGACGTCGCGGCCTCGGTTCTAACATTCATAACTTGCTTCATGCAAAGTTATATAGCATAGAGGATGTTACTATGTTTAGATCAATGACTATTTGTTTTGTCAAATAGGTTTATCAATAGAATTAATATACGATCATTTGTAAATCTCTAACGCTATTCGGAAAGGTTGTTTTATATATAAATTAATAATTATGCCTATAATAGTGAAAGATTTTACTTGGACACAAACAAGTAAGACTTTACATATAAAGATTCCGTTAACCTCTGGTATCAAAGAAAATTTAGATATATTCACAACAGATTCTTATGTAAAAATACATTTCAATCCATTCCTATTTGAAATCTTCTTATTACACGATGTTGATAATGATAAAAGCAAATGTTTGGTGCAAACTGATCAAGTAATTTTAGATTTATTGAAAAAAGATGAATGCGATTGGGAATGTCTCGAGAAAAAATTGGACAAAGGTGAAAAAATGAAAATAAGAGAAGAAATACACGAGAAATGTCAGGAACGTGCTAAACGAAATGCTGAAGAGAGAAACATTAAAAAGAGTCAGTTGGACAGGTTCACAGTGCAACAGGCGATGGAAATAGATACAAAGCAGCATAATCTAATGGATTCTAGAAGAGATAATCAAAGGAAAATGGCTATGGAAGCCCTAGAGGATTGGAGGCTTAATAACACAGAAACTGTTGCTACTGTCACAGTTAAAGACAAATTATATAATCAAGAAATAGAAAAAAATATGTCCGGAGTTAAAATTGTCGAATTACCTTCGACAGAAGATGAAATTGACCACAAAAATATAACAACAAAATGCAGTGCAGAAGTAACTACGGAAAAGAAATTGCAAAGTTACCCAAAAAAGCCGATTAAAACACCAGTTAGATCGGAATATATAGATAAGAAAAAACGAGAAGCAGCTAAGAGAATATTACCTAAATTAAGAGAAACAGGCGAGTTGGAAATTACGCATACTCCTCGAACGTTCCCTACACCAAGTAGAGAATCTACAGCTAATGAAGAGGAGACATGGTTGAAGAATATTACTCAGGCTCGGAGAGCTACAGGTAATGCTCGTGGAAGGTTGAATACTATGGCAATAGCTCTATAAAAATTTGTTTATATCTTAAATAAATTATGGAGAGGAGCAAAGGCAATCGCATAAGGAGCAAAGATTTGATGAACGATTAGTTATTAACTTAAAAAATACTTGATCGATTTTAAAAATTACTACACTTACAGAAATCAACATTTTCATCAAGTAACTTGAATTGTAATCTACTTTAAAATAAAATAAGATGCCTAGTGTAAATGGGAGTTCCCATGTGAATGGCGATTCGCCAATACTATCTCAATAATTTTTATTTTCCCATTTTCCTCCAGGTTTCATTTCTGAAGATCTTCGGCCGGAGGAACAAGATCCTCAATGGTGTAAAGACAAGGGAGATCAGTTTTTCCGTGCTGGCAACTTTTTGGGTGCGATAAGTGCATATTCGCACGGTATTACACTATCGGATAAACTCCCGAGCTTGTTCGCAAACAGGGCTGCCACTCACTTCGCTCTCGGAAACTTTAATAAATGTGTAAGTAACGTGTAATAATACCTCACTGCCCACACCAAACAGCTTTGTATGCGAATTTACTTATCTACTATGTTAAGTTACTAATGATCGCCGTGATCGCATGCTCATACTATTTTCTTCTACTGGTCCCGCTTGCGTATTAGGTCAGCATTCCATTAGTATCCATATTTTTTTCGAACCATTCTAATACGGGTTTGTACAGTTTGACGGACGAAAATAAGGGCGAGTGTAGAAGGTACCTACTCCAAAATTCGTGAAAGGACTTATGGAGTGGCTATACATACCTCAGTACCTATTTCAGCCACCAAACAGCTTGGTTTAGGTTGTTTCCGTTATAGTGCGCCATTAGGTAGTGTAATTATAAGATAAAAAGCATCTTAATCCACTGGATTGTGATGTCCATAGTGCTGTTCATATATATACATAAGTGACAGTTATCACTTACCATCAGACGAACCGCTTCTTGTTTGCTATTCGAGTTACATAAAATAATATTAAGTTTATTGAGATATATATTATTTCTATGTTAGTTGACAGATTGCTCGACCGCTCTGGACTTGATGAGACCAGCGTGTGAAGGTAACCGCTTCAGTCGAGCCAAATGCATCGCTCGTAGAGCAGCCGCACTTGTTCGATTAGGGTACCTCAGCAAAGCCATTGACGAGATGAAGGCAGCAGCTAAACTATTGCCAGAAGACGAGAAAATCAAAAAAGATTTATACGACATGGAGAGGGCTTGGGAACAGAATCCAGATTCGGACTAATTATATGCTCGTGTTTAATTAAAATATTATTACCAATTAAAAATTCTATCCTAATATCATTTTATTGTCAATATTATCGAAACTAATAATTATATATTTATACTAGCTATTCTACGCGACTACTGCCAATAAAAGTCCCTTAAAAATCGGTCCAGCCATTTCAGAGATTAGTCGGAACAAATAAACAGGCAAAAATGTTATATTGATGTATGTACTGTATTTATATCCATATGCATGTAGTAAAATCGGTTATTTCAATATTACAAGCGGACGTTCCAATTTTATTTATATGTATAGATATATAACTTGCAATATAAAATTTGTAAAAAAGAAGTAGCCTAATTTACTCCTTGTAATAATAGCTATCCGTTTCAGAGAACAAACAGACGGATAAAAATGAGTTAATTAGTACCGTTCCATATGTTGTCAGTAAAATGCTGTTAATAGATTTGAATGTGTATACTCGGTCTATCTGATTGTTACATTTTCACGACTAAACGGCGCAGATGTTAATGAAATTTGACGTAAAATAGATTTTATAATAAATATTATTTTCGTGTCGGCCAAAATAACACTCAACAACCTGTTTCTCTAAAAAAAAATAAAAAATTACTTAAGTAGGTAACTCAAAATTTAACGTGGACAAAAATCACGATTAGAGATTTTATATACTTATATACATATTACTACTACATTCTATATAAACAATAGTAGTCTACTGTTTTTGAAAAAAAAAGACAAAGTGGTGTGTTTAGCACACCGTTAATATCAAATCACCATTTAGTAAATTTCGTTTCACTGACCTACCTAGGTTTGATACAAGAAAACACTGAATTGGTAACCAAATACAATTATTAATTATTAATAATAGGAATCGAATTACAATACAATACTTGTGTAACTAACTCTCTAGTTCTATTCTTCTATATTTTTTTTGGACAGTCCAAGATTACTTAATAAAGCATGTGGGGACGGATCGCGTCCTCGAAACCGCCTGAATACTTCACTAGGGTGGCAGCTGCCTCCGTGTGCCAAAAACGTGTCTCTATACCGTTTTCCAACACTAATGATATCCTGTTCCCCTTGTCTAGCTTCCTCAAATGCACTGTAAATATCTGCTGCAATCATTTTCGACCACAAGTGGCAGTAATAAGCAGCTCCCCATTCTTCTGATACCACTTTTAAAAACGACAATGGATGCGAGTCATACTTATCGAACGGTAAAACGTTGTACTTCGGCCATAACTCCCTTACGAGATCTCTCCAGAACGTTTTCTTTGAATGCATTTCCAAATCTAACCGTGCTAAGTATAATTCCTTACATAATTCGTAACCTGACATGTGTTTTCTTATATTCTGTATATTCCTCATTATATCGTCTGGTAATGGTTCATCAGATCTGTAGTGACCGCTGATGGCTTGTATTGTGTGAGGATCATAGAGCCAGTGTGTCATGACATGACCGCAAACCTCCGCGGCATCCCATTCCACATTTGATAAGCCTGCAACCTCTGAATAGTTGGCTTTAGTTAGCAAATGACGCAAAGCGTGACCAAATCTTCGGAACAGTACTGCAACTTCATTGAACGACAGTAACGACTGATTTTCACCATCTGGAGCTTGGAAGTTGAATATTAGAGCCGAAAGTGGTGTAGTAGATGTAATTTTACACTTGTTGCGAATAGAAATATGCCATCCTGCGTCGTCATATACACGGATTTTTTCATCTTGACGAGCATATGGGTCTAAGTAAAAACCGGCTACGGGGGAATTACTAGAGTCGTCGTAAACATCATAGAACTTAACATCTTTGTGCCATGTGTGGACCCCTGATCGCTCAACAATTTTAATATTAAATAGTGTACTACACAGATTAAAAAGGCTATTGATAACTCTAGGAAGTGGGAAGTATTCACGGATTTTGTCTTCATCGAAATTGTAAAGGGACCATTTTTGTTTCCTCTGCCAGTAAGGTATATCCCAATGCTCCAGTTTCACATCGAAACCACGTTCATTAGCATATCTTTGCAGTAATTCGATTTCTACTTCTTGCATAGGCCGAGCGGTTTCAAGGAAACTGTCCAATATACTGTAAATATTTTCAACGGAACCTGCCATTTTGGTTTCCATACTCATGTCTACAAAATTATCAAAACCTAGTATTGAAGCTTGCTCCTGTCGGTAGTTGCGTATTTTTTCTAAATTCGAGCTAGTTTCCAACTCTTTGTTGACGTAATTCGAACATTTCTGGACGTTGGCCTGCCAAGCATTCCAACGTAAATTTCTGTCAGGGCAATACTGCATGAAGGGTTCATATATATGAGGCTGCAATGTGACCTGCCAAGGACCTTTACTTGGGTCATTATTACCAGCCATAGACTTAATAAGGCTCTCTGGAAACTCTCTCAGTGCCTCAGGATTTGTGATACTAGTAGTAAAAAGCTTGTTAGCAGCATTAACTTTCTCACGGAACGTTTGCTTTTCCTTTTGTAGTGACCCTAGTACATTATTAAGTCTCTCTCTCTTGATACCTTTTACATCCAACCCATTCAGTTTCCCTTCTAATATATACTTATCCAGAAGTCTTTGTTCTTCATCTGTTAGGTTTTTCAATCGATTTTTTTCGTCAACGGCAGCTTGGTAAATGGGTATGCTATTGAATTTGGAAGATCTAGCTTTGTGGGCTCTTTCATGTATCTGAATATAAGACTTTGTGGGCATCAGTGAGCTATTACCAAGGTACAAGGTCTTGGCCATACCCCATGTCAGCTCCAACTGACTGTCCAGCTTCTCAAGTGGCTGGAATATTTCGATGAAGGCATTTTTGCAGTTTGCAGTGAATTGTTCTATTTGATTCACTCCACTTTCATATTCTAAGCTCTGTTTACTGATGGCAGCTATACACTTTTCGATTGTGATGTCGTTAAACTCTGGTAGACCATTGTCGGACAATAAAATGTTCTTGTCTGCATCTTCACCTATTTCTGGAATTCTGAAATGTTAAAACATATGTATTAGTTCTGTTCCTAATGAGTTGTAGTTTATTTTTATTTCTATAAAATATATTAATATTAATTCGCTAAAACTCATCATAATTTACTTAGAAATATATAGATATGTAATTTTTTAGGTTAAATTGAAATATCAATAGAAGTTTCGTAATCCAATATAATTGAGCTCGTTAACATCTTTCTATTATGAAGAGAATAAATCCGTGACTTTCAAAATTATAAACGTAAAATTAAATAATTTAAAGTATTAAAAAATTCTCAGAAGAAAATAGTAAAAAAATTCAATTTGAAGTAATTAAAAATGCATAATTGTTGAATATCCTACAGTAGAGATTGTATAAAAAACAATTAGCAAACATATCAATCGTTAAAGCAAACAAGCCAGTTACATTCATATATAAAAGAAAATTATTTCTATAATTTTATTGTGTAATGGTTTTTCATAATATCCATCCAAGTCATAAAGAGGTTGTTATTGAAATATTCTTAAACTACTACTACTTTATAATATAAATAATAATAAATTAACAACATTGTAGTAACAAATTAGTGAATATTTTCAAGGATAGATTTATTTAAATTCTAATTTTGAGGCAAGTTAAATTGTACAAAATCAATAAAAAGTATAACACTTACAGTACTAGGTAACCAGCGTTGCGTTTGTTCTGATACAGTTGTCGTTTCACATGCCTTGCAATAAACTTAGACCGAAAAAATGATAAAGCCATTATTATTATTTGTTACTATTTAATAATTTTTGGGTTATTTATTTCATAATGGGTACTACAAGTCGAACATATGATACTGACATTGACAGTTTTTTCGAATGTGATCAATACCGTCTTTCATTGTAACTTGCGACCACAGAGCACTAATATGCTAGCGGATTAGTACTATTAACATTGACACAGATTTAAAATGTTACCAGATATTAAAATACGTTCCGCATGTTTTTTTATTTAATGAATAATTTCAGAAAATACTTAAAATTTATTTTTATTATTTATGAAAATACACTTTACAAAAATCTAAACAAATAAATTAATAAATGTTATTTATTTTGTACAGTAAATAATTCAAAGAGTCTTTAATCATTTCAAAATATTTAAACCGTTCTATTAGATTTTAATTGGAAATTTGCATTCGTTTAGCTATTTGTTCTGTTTTTGATTCACTAATACTGAATAGGTATTGATAGACTGAGAATTCTGAAACATTTAATGTAGTTGTTAATACTTAAGTACCTTTATGATATAAGTCAATAAAGAGGTTTAAATTTATTAATTATAATTTATTTCAGAACGAATTCAACATTTTACTTTTCAGTTATAGCAGTAACATTTTCAACTAATGGAACATTAATCAATTGACAAGTGCATAAAGTGTTGCAAGTATTACAATACTCTTGATTTATCTTTAACGTTGTTTCCTTTAATTTCAAGCTAGTCGACAGTTTAGTTTCTTTCACTGGTGGACTACAGCAAAAATCAGTATCAAGACCCATTTTCTCGCCGTCTTCTAAAGTCTGCGGTAAATGCTGGTTTAACGTCTCTGGAAGAAGTAAGCTAGCTACGCCTCCGGCCACCAACAAGGCTCCCATAATAATAAGTGGCAAAACCATGATGTCGGCTCCCTGCAATTTTAAAATATCAATCAATTAAATCAAATATACGTTTCTGGTAACAACAAAATCATAAAGTTATACCACTTGAGACTAATTCAACAAGAATCAAACAAAAGTAATCATTAAATTCGGTGCAGAAATTTCAAATAGGTACATAGGATAAAGTTATAATCAAAATCAGTGCAGAAGCGAAGAGATCGCGTGCCTATATTAATTTCGAAATAAAAAATGTGAACTTGCCAAGTAATTAACGAGTGGTATGAAGATAGGACCCAGCATGCCGAGTACAGAACTGAGGCTCATTCCGAGCCCCCTCACCACTGTCGGGTACAGTTCTGACGCCATCAGTGGTAACACCACGAATGAAGATGATATGCCCATCTTTCCGACGCAGTACAACGCAAGAGTGACGTTGGTTTCTGAAAACATCAATAGTAATTTCCAGCTGTAATGCGGACACTTGGCTTCATTGCTACTAATCTTAGTAATATTTTAAATGCGAAAGTTTGTGACTAAGTATATATGTTTGTTACTTTTTCACACAAAAGCTACTGAATGGATTTTTATGAAATTTTCAAGTAATATAGTTTATAACACATAGGTTATATTTTTTAAAGATATTATGGCAAATGGGGCGAATATAATAAATGTGATGCATATGAAGTTGCGCGGGTCAGCTAGTGTATATATATATATACATTAGTAGTAATAAGGCAATCTCGAAAAAGTAATACTCTATCGGGTATTTTTACTTACCATGTTGAACCAAAAACGTGGTCAAGCAGGCTATACCACCAACAACCATACTCATGCAAAGCGTCCACCTCCTTCCAAGTCTCTCCATCGAAGGCCATAGGAACAAATAGGTGGGCAATTCCACGATGCCTGCTAGGAAAAAGTTCAAAAATTCATCGCCTCCAAGAACAGGTGCATAATACGACAGACCAACATAAACGCTGGTGTTTGTGAACCAGATGAAAGTTATGATAATTGTCTTCTTTCTCAAGTTGGGTGTACGGAATAGGTCCAGAATGCCATATTTACGCGTCTTCTCCTTTTCTATATCCTGTTTTAGTTTGTCTGTTTCATATTTGCGGCGAAGATGTACCATATAGTTGGCCGGTAAGGATTTCCCGTTGATTCTAAAAAGAAATGCAAATCAAATCAAATGGATCTTTATTCATGTAGGTCTTAAAGACACTTAAGATAACTCAAATCTACCGTCTGAAACTAGTTTGAGACAAGAAGAACTGGCAAGAAACTCTGCCCTCAATCTTTTGCAAATGTCCTTGTATTATCATTATAATTATTGACGACCTCAGTTGTTCAGCAGTTTAGCACACCGCCTTATCTCCGATGATCGTGGGTTCAATTATCGCACTGTACAAATATTTGCATGCACGAGTATGATTGTAGGTATCTGTTCTGGGTGTCTATATATAAGCTTGTATTTACAAAAGAAATGTATCTATATATCTATATCAGTTGTCTAGTACCCAAACACAATCTCTAGTTTGGGACTAGATGGTGCTGTTGAATTATCTAGGTTTATTATAATTATTAATTTAACCTTGCCATATTCTTCAATATTATTTCGGCTTCTTCGAATCTGCCTCTTGCTAATAACCATCGAGGGCTCTCTGGCATGGCCCACATGTACAGGAAAAAACAAACGAAGGGCAAAGTAGTAGTTAACGCTAGGTGGCGCCAATTCCTCACGAAGTATACGACGCCAGCGAGTAGTATCAAGCCCATGGAATACGCAATGTTAGATAAAATGGTGCATAGAGTTCGGCAGCGAGGACCAACCAGTTCTATCGCTGCAAGGAATAAAGGGAAACTTATTATACTGTTGAAATAGAAAAACAAACTGTAGAAATAGAAATAATTTTTATTCTAATAGACTTAATGTTATATATAAAATTCTCGTCTTATATATAAAATTCTCGTGTCACAGTTTTCGTTCCCATCCTCCTCCGAAATGGCTTGACCGATTCTCATGAAATTTTGTGAGCGTATTGAGTAGGTCTGAGAATCGGCCAACATCTATTTTTCATCCCCCTAAATGTTAGGGGTAGTCCACACCTAATTTTTTTTTTATTATTTTAAGGCAAAACAACGTTTGCCGGGACAGCTAGTGTATATCTATAATTATATTCTAGCAGACACGGCTACGCGTTGCTGTGGTTCTTGAATAAAATAATATTGCGATAAACTAAGATGCAAGCTATCTTTTAATTAGATCAAATCAAATCAAATTTGTAATCGGTTCAGTAGTTTGGGAGTCCATCGGAGACAAACAACGAGATACGAAATTTTTATATCAAATCAAATAAAATCAAAATTCATTTATTCATGTACGATATTTAAGATCTTAAGATACGCTTAAGATCGGTAGGGAAAAAAATGTTAATATTTTTTGTCCAGTTCAGTGTACAGTTTCAATTGAGAATTACTGACAAGAAACTCAATTTTTTTTTACTAACAAGCCAGTTTATGTACATTGTGTACTTATATGTACATAAACTGGTTTGGTGTCTATGTCTAACATTCAATGAAAATCCCATAACTGCATTAAGATTATGTATTTTAATTACTTACCCAAGACATAAGGTGTGGCCATGATAGCCGGTACAGTAAACCCAACACCCACTCTGTAGATGGTCCACACCACGTAGTTTTGAGCGAAAGCAGTGGCAACACCAAATACACATTCTATTAGAAGGTAAATGAAGAACGATGGTTTTCTTCCAATTGTGTCTTGGAGGTAGCCGAAGATGTAATTGCCTATGATGCCTCCGACTGCTAGAAGCACTAAACCAAGGGTTGGGTAGAAATCTTTGTGGCAAACTAAGTTCCACTGAAAAAGAAAACACCATTGTTCTCACTGGCCATTCACAACTTAACGCTGCATGACGTCAGCAGTGTGCGCTAGACACGACATAGTATTTCCTTCTCTTTCCCACATACTCTACAGTAATAAAATTATTTGGATTTGATTTAATACCGTGTAATTTTATTGGTATACATATTACATTTTCATCGAAATTCTGCCAACAAAGTAATACATAGATGTAGATGTAGGCACCTACACCGAAGAGTTTGTATAGTATTGTAAGTCCAGATTAATGGAGACTGGAAATATTTGGAAATAATGAAACTACTTATTTTAGAAACAGGTAACGGAAAATAGTACCTCTAAAGAAAAAATCAAATAGATTCAGTCAAAACACTTACTTCAGATACGATTGTGTTCCTGTATACGCTTTTGTCATAATTCCAACCATTCCTACATGCCACAACGTTGCTGGGTGTTACTTTTGTGACCGCTTCAGCGAGACTTTCATAATTCTTTATGATGTCGCTATAATTTAAGTTGTACATGTTGCACTCGGAATATTGGTGGTTACCATTCCTTAGTTCCATTGGTATGCTGCGAAATTGACAAACAATACATACATACTAATATTTTTTCCCTAGCGTCCAGTTCATTATACAGATTCAATTGAGAAGAACTGACAAGAAACTAAAATGTTTTTTTTTACTAACAAGTCAGTTTATGTACCATAGGTGTCTAACATTGGACGACGGCCTCGGTGGTCTAGCGGTTTAGCACACCGCTTTACATCCGATGCTCACGGGTTCAATTTCTCACACTGTACTCACATTTGTATTCATGAGTATGATTGTTTTTATCGGTTTGGGGGTTGTAGAAAATGTATACATGTATTTTAAAAAAAATTGTATTTATATCAGTTGTCTAGTAGTTAGTTCCCATAACACAAGTTCTGCTTAGCTTGAGACTAGATGACGTTGTGTGAATTGTCTAGTGTTATTATTATTATTAAATGGAGATGTCGACAAGTTACACGAATTTGTTGATTTTAACTTCTACCTCTCCTTGTAATTTTCGCCACTCCCTAGTATGACGTAAGTTTTGCAATTATAACATAATAGAAATATTTAAAAAGTTTTCTTTGATAGATCAAATTTCTAGTTTAAATATTTAGATTTTGAACTGAGACGTCACGTAATTTAAGACCCCAATGTGAGTGAGTCAAGAAAATGTGACTTTGTGTGACGAGAGATGGGTCCTCTCGTCACACAAAGTCACATTTTCTCGATCCTCCCTCTTAACATTTATTTAAAGTGTAAAGTTTGTGTTTCTGTGTCACGCGACAAACTCACCACTTAAACCAAATCGGTCCAACTTTTTTCTCGACTTTTAGCGAGACTAACAAACGTCATTTCATTTTTATATATACGATAAAATAATTATCTATCTACTTCATAATTCACCTTAAATTCTTGACTATTCCCAAATCAGAAATATGCTCCAGTTCCGGAACTCGGCACCAATGATCCACATTAGCTGACATGAAGAGCTGTGCGTACGCATGGAATCCGCACGGGATGACAGCTGGCAGCAGTATCAGGTAAATCACCAATTTCTGATAACGGCCGAAGACACCCACATCTTCTAGGATAGCGTCGAAGTCCATTCTGGCATTTTTGAGGTTAGTTACTAATGGAAATGGAAAACAAGCTTACGCTCCACCTGATGGTTGTAACCGTTGCGTAATTCATGAACAGCACTACCGATATCACGTTATCATGTGCTGGTCGTGATACAACTCATGTGTTGGTGGAAAACGGATTTTTAATAATGGGAACTGTTGACCCATTGCTAGTAATGCACCATATCAAGTTTCCCCAGAAAATTATGAAAAAGCGCATAAGGTTGCATTTAAAAAAGTATATTATCATTACTTTGCATTATTATTATCACAGTATCTTATTTTATTCTTTACTAGCTATTCGCCCCGGCTTCCCCCGAAAGTACATGTATTATACATATAAACCTTCCTCTAGAATCACTCTACCTATAAAAAAATATCGCTTCAAAATCCGTTGCGAAATTTTAAAGATTTAGGCATACATAGATACAGACAGCGACATCGACTTTATTTTATACTATGTAATGATTATTCTTTGTAAATCACTTACCTACCGATGTAATATTGGTTAATTTTGTACCTAGTTGAACTGGAGCCCGTTTTAAGTTAAAGTTTCTGTAATTAAAGATTTCTGATTCCTGCGACACAAGCCTTGAACTTAGTGCAGAGATTGCTGTTAAAATATTTTGTTTATAACCATTGATATAAAATGTACAAATAAATAAAATAAATTAAAAATAAATATTCGGCTGTATGTAGATGTTGCAATATGACTATCATAACATAGCCTGAAATAAAATAAATATCCGGCTGTATGTAGAAGTTTATCATAACTATATAGCCCGGTGGTTTGCCAATAACCGATCTGAGCATATAAAGATTGCTCACTAATACCACAGATAATATAATATTACATACTAGTACTTACTTTTTTCGCTACATTAAGATTCCTATGGAAACACTAAATACTTTATCCTCAGACCAAACAATTGCAGGCCAGTGTTCAGTCTCGCGTACTCTTATAAACTGTACAGGGATTTGCAAACAATAACAAACCATATCTGTTTGCTGGACCTTTAATATTGGTCCTCAATCTATAGGATGGTTCATTTTGTGTCGTGAAGTGGTTTAATCTCCATTCTTAAACAGTATGGTCGTGGGTTCGAATTTGGTCGAAACAAAAAACTCTATGTATAAACGTTGTGAGTCACTCTCTAGTGATATTAACACCCATAACAAAAAACGCTTAAACTTAAACAGGCAAAACCTCAAAATAATGAAGGGACGATAACGAGCCACTGTCCCTTAAAAAAACACCCGTACACAATAGGGTGCTATAGGCAGCCTCCTTTGTCGTGGCTGGTTTGAAGCCGAAGAAACGACTGTTCACGTAGTCCAGGAGTGCATAGCAGTGGCCACACAACAAACACAAATCCTCGGAACTGCGAGGTGGCTCCGTGAAGCATGTGAAAACATCAGAAGACTTCTGCAACTTTTGGGAGGAGCTTGGCTGGCTACTCTAGTAGTCTCGACTCTACATGTACAACGATCTAGATGAGAAGCAGATTGCGAAAAATAGAATCCAATTTACATTACATTACGCCGATAACAAATAAAATTAATCGAAGGTAAGATTGCTTTTAGCTACAATAAAAAGGGTACATAACGTTTGCTTAATATTATATGGCATTCTCTACCAGATAATCTTTAGATAGAAATAGAAAGAATTGTAGAGCAGTGTTGGTGAATCTTCTTACAGCCTTCTGATACAGTCTTCTTTCTGATACTCTGGTACGCATTGGTGACATTTTGCTCTGTCACAATATTATTACATCTCATTGCTACTAAAGTTGCACTGTCAAGTTGACCTTTACAATTTTTTTTTATTTTTATTTTATTTTGGCGATATTTATTCAACAGCCTCGGTGGTCTAGCGGTTTAGCACACCGTTTCTTCCGATGGTTGCGGGTTTGATTCCTCGCACGATGCAAACATTTGTATAAGTATGATTGTTTGTATCGGTCTGGGTGTTTTCTATGTATATTACGTATGTATGTACAAAAATATATCTAAGTATTTATATCGGTTGTCTAGTACCTATAACACAAGTGGGACTAGATGGTACTGTGTTAATTATCCAGGGTTGTTCATTTATGTATGATTTAGCATTAAGAATTTGCGATTTAGTATTAAGAATATATATAACTTCAATTTTTCAGCTTTTTACGATCAACTACTGCTTTTTAATAGCGATAATAATTTATATAACAAGAAATGCGTTTGCCGGGATAGCTAGTATATATTCAAATTTGACTAAAATAATATGATGATGTTTTACATCACCCAATATGCGGATGGGACGCACGCGCAATTATTCCATTTGCAGTCGGCAGTCAGTCAATTCGATTAAGGATATAATTGGAGCAGCGAAAGGACGCTCTCCCGATAACCAAGGTCGTTAGAGCAACAATATATCTAGTTTGTTATACATGACATTCTGCCTACATTTGTAAAATTTCTGTCAACACTCGAGACTCTTCCATTAGTACCGCTCCAGATAACTTAGATTTAAGTTCAGTCTAAAGTCAGTCGACGTCCTGACTCCGCGTCGAATGTACGCGTTACTTAAAAGAGCTACATGCAAGTTTCTTGCTCGTTCTTCTTGTAGAGAGATAGCTTTCCGAATGAGTGATAGATTAGAAAAAAAGAACTATTCAAAACTGCTTAGTTTATTTAAATAAATAATTTTCTAATCTAATGAATAAAATAATAGTAGGTGTATTGAGACCATTAAAAAACTTGATTATGTAATCCGTTTAGAGATTTTTTTCTCAGCTATTTAGAGCCTGCGCAAGTGACATAAAATTTTCACAGAATATAGTGTTGTATAGGATTAGTTTGTCACATGATAGTCTCGAACCAGACGTTTTTTCTTTAAATGTTATCACAAAAACAGACAAACAGTCAATTTCCACCCTTTCATTCAAATTCAAAATATCTTTATTCATGTAGGTCTATTACAGACTCTTATGATATGTCATATCTACCGTCAGTTCGGAATGATATCGAGATGAGAAGAACTGACAAGAAACTCAGCTCGTATTTTTTTTCAAATAATAGTGGAACATGTTTATGATAAATACAGTTATTAAAATTCAAATTTGGGAGAATTTAATTTTACATTTAATTTGAAGATTTATTAGCAATTGAAGTAGGTAATGGAACACGACGTTTATAATTTAAATCGTTACGAGTTTTGCTCCTCTTACACTCCGATTCGGTAGTTATTCTATGTTGAACAATCAAAATATTAGTATTGATGGATTGATTGTCGTATAGGTTAAGTTATGTTGTTAAGTTCTTACTAAAAACATGGACTATGTTGTTCGACAATAAATTATTATTATTATAACAGGCTTCAAAAATATATTTATATCTTATATATAAAATACTCGTGTTACAATGTTAGTTACCATACTCCTCCGAAACGGCTTGACCGATTTTTATGAAATTTTATATGCAAATATACGTAGTGGTTCTCAGAATCGGCAACTATCTATTTTTCATACACACTTAGGGTTGCTCACCCCTAAAAATGTATTTTTATTTTTTGGACAATTTTTATTTACCATCAGGCGAGCTGCATGCTTACAATAGGATTGAATGAAAAAAAAAGCTGAAAAAAGGATAAAAGGTTTATTAGCTATAACTTACGAATATATAAATATTATTAGTCTCTACATTCTTGTTGAAGGGTTTGTCAGTATATGCAAGGCCGTCTCGCAATTATTTTTTTTATCAATCTTTTATAAATAAATAACCCTGGACAAGCGGGACAATAACACAGCGTTATATGGTCCCATGGTAAGCAAGGGTTGTGTAATGGGTATTAGACAACTGATATAAATACTTAAATATTTTATTTTTTGTAAGTACATAATATACTCGTACATACAAAACATCCAGACCGATATCAACAATTATACTCATAAATAACAGACATTTGATTTCACCGTGTGAGGAATGTGTCATATATAAATACGTATATTTAAAATTGTCTTAATCTTAATCACGTGATCCTTTTTTAGAATTTTGTACCCCTTCTCCCCCTTGGTGACACGAGGTTTAGGACAATCCCCCCATCCCCTCAACATCACGTCTATTTTTAGTGCCTGCAAAGATTTTTTTCTTTAAATACAGATATTAACAATAATTATATTTTATTATGAAATTAAGGACCATAAAAATACAGGTTGTTTTTGATTGCCATAAAAATAGAAAATATAAATACACGTGATATCTTACTACACTCCCCCTCCCTCCTGTGATATTTTCCCCCCTCCCAGGGGGGGAGGGAGACGGTTTGAGGGAGATTGTTTCAAGCCTCACGTGATTAATGGACAATCTCTTAATAGTTGCGTTATTGCTCTACTATTAGAGAAGTTCTCCATTTGGTAGCGAGTCAGTGGCTTTATGACGCATTTTCCTGTACCACTCCGGGTCGTTTTTAGCAACAGATTCCGGTCGTCCGCCTTTATGTCTGTAGTGGAACTCGGAGACTCCCCTGCCCGGCATATTGTTCACCATGAACTTGCAGAATCGCTCCACCATCCGGGCTTCCCACTCGTCAGAAACGTAGTGTATTGACTCGTACTCCACTTGAACCTGTTCGCGACCATTAAAATTAACTGTTAATTCTATTAAATACATATGTAATCTACTAACTGTGGCTACTACTTCGTCCGCGAATGATCTTGACTGAATAAAAGAAATATTCAATAACGTCTAACCCAAAAAAGACAAACAAAAAAAGTTTCGAAGTTTCAAAAGTAACGCATTTCCATATAAGCTTTTGTCCTTTTTTCATGTTATTTTACTCCCATTATCACCTATCATTTTTACAAAGTTTGAATGTCATATTTATTTTTATATTTAAGCAACAGTCTAGCAAGTAAGTTTTAAGCTTCTAGCTTTTAAAACTTCTCCCCTTTTAACCCCTTACAACCCTTTTTCTTTATTTATATTTAATCAACAGCCTAAATGTAAGTTTAAAGCTTTTAGCTTTAAAAAATGACGATATTATCATACAGACTTTCATCTGCTCTTTCAACCACTTACAACCCTTTTTTGCATTATAAAGTAGCCTATGTCCTCCTGAAAGTAAGTGGGTAAAGTATTAATATCTTCAGGCTTGTGTAAGGACATGTTTAGTGTGTTGGAATGACACCTGTAGGCGAGATAATAATTGGGAGAATTTTCACTGTTTCTATCTGCTATTGTACTTTTAGTTCTTTTGCTAGATCAGTATATTTAACATTTTTTCTGTATATGTTGATAGAAGATTTTGTGTGTTTGGTATTACCATATCTATGAGATAAATAATAATAATAATTATTATTAAATACCTGAACTGTATACAGTTCATCTCCAGCCCCGAACCTGAAGGCATAGTCTCTCGGAGCCTGTCCATTCTCTCCGTGATTATGTAGCCGTAGATCTACCCATTTTATAGGCAGAACCTTCCCGTTGGGTAACGCTACTTCACCTGCTTCGAATCTGAAAATTTAACAATAACAATATCTCAGGAAAATTCTCACAGCGCCATCTAGTCCCAAGCTGAGCAGAGCTTGTGTTATGGGTACTAGATAACTGATATCAATATATAGACAATTTTTTTATAATTACAAAAATAATATACATAGAAACCACTTAGACGGAACCAAATAATTATGCTTAAAAATACAAATATTTGTACCGTGCGAAGAATCGAACCCGCGACCACTGGAAGTAAGGCAGTGTGCTAAACCGCTAGACCACGGAGGCGGTCAAATGCCGTTGGTTGGTTTCAAAGAGTGGGTGTTCTTTCGAAGCAATATATTTATGTGGAGAAGGTTTTGTTATTTAGAAGAGCATTGCTATATTTTTTAATGGATGATGATGGAAGTGTGCTCCTCAGTGGGATATGGTAGGATTAGAATGTCAGGTCGTCATTGTCACTGTGTTCCTTTACGATAGTCGTGAGTTCAATTCCTCACACGGTGCAAACATTTGAATTCATGAGTCAGATTGTTTGTATTATTTTATGAATTATAATGGATTGGATGCAATCGGTTTCGCTAACGGGCGAGGCTACAATGGAGGATGATAAAATGAGCAAAAGTCAAGTTAATTAGCCCAATTTATCATGATGGTTTCCAGAGGGAACGACGTGGATGATAATAGGTTGGATGCACCCACCTGCGCTAACGGGCGGGCATCAGTAGATGATGTATGATGATAAAAAGAGCAGTCATCAATGAAGTCAGCCCAATTTATCACGATGAATTTCAGTGGTAACGGCATGGTCAAAGTTTCAATTACTGACAATCTCCTTCTTCCTGATTTTTTCTATTGGTGTTGGTGGTTTTTTAATATATATTATGTCAGAAAGGTTAAAGAGTAATCGTCTATCGTGGTATGGGCATGTAATGCGTAGGAAAGAAGATTATATCTTAAGGACGGTGTTACATATGAATGTGGATGATTATAAGGGTAGAGGAAGACCGAAAAAGAGGTGGATGAACTGTGTGGAAGATGATATGGTGAGAAAGGGAGTAAATAACGGAATGACTGCGAACAGAGATGAATGGAAGAGAAAAACATATTACGCCGACCCCAAATGAATGGGATAAGGAAGAAGCAGATGATGATATGTATGTAAGAAAGACATAACTAATTTGTAAGGCAACCCTGAGAAAACTAAAGTACTATGAAACTGGTACTTGGATGATGATGACAATGGTAAGGATGACGTCCATGATGGTAATGGTGAAGAAAATATATTTGTAGCTTCACTCACACCGATGCTGTTGATGGTTGACAGATGACACCAACGCTAATACTGACACCATTTTTGAGGAAGATGTGATGAAACGCATATCGATGCATTAAACTCCAATCTCGTCTCTGACCTGCGAGATAAAAAAACGTTTTATATACTTTGCACTAAACATAATATATAGTAAAATAAATATATCATCACGACTCAAATTGCAGATGAGGTAGTCATAGATGCCCACATTTTCTTGGATATGCTCATATTTGAATCCAACATGAGCGAACGAGCTGTCTCTCGGATTATTTTGGTTTGTTATCGGTGTTTCCATTCCCGGAGCTTCAGAAATATATATATAGAAATAGAGTTCTAGGTGATTTAGATTTAGAGATTTAAACTTATGGTTGTTTCAAAATATGTACAAAACAATATTTGAAAATATCTTACCAAAGCTATGGTCTCTAAACGAAGGCATGCTGTACACGAACGATTCTTGATCTATTTTAAAATTACATTTTAGGACACCAAACTGTTCATAGTGAGATTGGTGAGCTCTGAAATTAAAAAAATCATTTAGTGGCATTTTACAGCTATTAGATCACTAAGCAAGTAATCACTAGTTTCTAGATTTACTCACGTCTTCAGTCTTTCGAAGTAGTCTCTGCTCCAGGTTTCTCTCGCTATTGATCTGATGACTGTAGCCGGGTACAGATCCGAGTCAAAGTCAAAGAACTGGCTGGTCGCTGTCCATTCGCCTTGGAAGTCAACGTTTACCGTCTTGCTGGGGTCGTTCTGATACCTACAATAATATGGTTCTTTTTTAGTTCATTCTTTCCAAAGATTAATGCGCTATTATATATGTGTGTATATGTCTTTGTTGTTATTTTATGTAATATATATTTAATATGTATATATATGTTTATTCAATTTATGTGTCCACCTACTCTTTTCTTCTCTTTACTTACACTACCCATCTAAAGGTAGTCTCGAAGAAATTGCTAAGCCATAAAATCGCCTTTTGTATTAGTTCATCTATATTTACTAGTTTAATTATTTTCTGTATTTAGTGTAATAAATTAAAAAAGTAATAAAATAATAAACCAGGACAATTCACACAGCGTCATCTTGTTCCAAAGTATGTAACACTTGTACTGCTAAACTGCTAGTAATAATTCTATAAATTTCTTTTTGTAAACAGATACATATAGAAACATCGAATAAAAATAATCACACTCATGAATACAAATGTTTGTGTCGTATGAAGTATTGATGATTGTTTTTTTTCGGACTACTCTAATGCTGTTGGCCGCCACTGGCCTTTACAGCTGCACCGGCGGACAGCGGGCGAGTGCAGATGTCACTCCAACCCCACGGATGGACTAATGGAGCGGCTGAAGGCCAACTCCCGCCTAACGAATACGAATTTAGTCTGAGAGCACCCCTAGGGTTTCGAATCTCAGCTTAGGCTATTGTAATTTCGATCTCCATTTTAATTGGACGGGGGATCGATCGGAGGTATGGACGGGGATCGATCGAAGGGGATCTCGCGCCCATAAGACAGTGTGTTAAACCGTTAGACCACCTGGGCAATCAGTTGATCAGCCGATATTTTAAATATCTATCAAGTTCATATTAAAAATATCACTTTACTCTAGAGAAAATGAATTATAAAATTTCGTGTCATACTCACCACATTTGACCTTTGTAAGATATAGCCCATTTCTTCATAGGTTCTACGGGAGCCATTTTAATTCCCTCGGCACCAAATTCACCAATGTCAGCGCCAAAAAGTACGGTGTCTGGTAGTTTTTTACTGCACAGCAGTCCTTTGCCTGGTAACTGTTAAAAAAATAAAAACTTCCATTAAATTTATGGTCATCAGCCTGTAGTTAAAACGAAAATATTAAATATCAGGCTTTCGTTACTAAGAACAAAATTATATTTTGTATAAACTTTACAAGAAATCTCATAATACACCTAGAAAACATCCAGACCGATACAAACAATCATACTCATGAATACAAATGTTTGCACCGTGTGGGGAACCAAACCTGCGATCATCAGACGTAAATCGGTGTGCTAAACTGCTAGACCACCGAGACCGTCCAAATAGAAACTCATTAGGTGTATGGCTAGTATTAATGTCTGTAATTAAGATAACAATTGAAATTGCTGTAGTGTATGTGGAAACACTAGCAGTTTATTATCTATGGTCTCGAGCCGAGCGTACACGGGCAGCCGTGCGCAAGAGGGGAGGGATTCCCTGCGCAAGCGCCGCCGCGGAGTAAAGACGTGTAGCTGTGGCTAACGAGCCGATATTATGTCGATAACAACTTACATACAAAAAGACATAAATAACAAATAAGTGAACACTATAATTGCAAACGAGATGGACATTTAAATTTTCCATACATAGTAGACCTTACCCCAATGTAGAAGAGTCCATTGCACATGCCCATAGGTCTACGTTCACAACCGGATATGACGTAAACACCTTTGTCATCGATGTCTGTGGCAGATATAAAGAACACAGCGTCGAAAGCCTGGAGAGAAAATTATTTTATTTTAATAGTTTCATTTATGACTTTAATAATGTTGTACTCTCGTCGGTCGATAATAGATTAATTTATAACAAAACAACGTTTTCCGGGTAAGCTAGTTAAATTGTAATTAAAAAATTAGGTTCCAAGGTAGTAATTAGGTAGTCAGGAAAATAGTGTTTTTTTTCTATGAAATGGCACTAAAATACATACAACTCAATTATGTGTATTTTTAGTGCCATTTCATAGAAAATAACTATCCAGAAAATAATAATGCCCTTATCACTTAAGGGTATAAAAATAGTTTACGTCCTATTCTCAAACCTACTGAACATACTCACAAAGTTTCATAGGAATCAGTCAAGCTGTTTCGGAGGAGTTTTGTATCAAACACTATAATACCATATATCTGTATACAACATACTATAATTGGCGCAGTGGGGCACCATTCTATATAGAAACGGATTTCTTTTTAAAACAAACATAATACACGTAGATGATGTCATTGGTATCGTATATGACATATACCATACTAATGACAATTTTTTTTAGTTTAATACCATATGCTATTAAACTTATTCGCGGTTGTCGCACAAAAGGGTCCAGAAAAGTAATTTCGATAATTTCGGTATATGTATGTTGTAGGTAATTGTGCATTATTATAAAATAAATGTCGGGTAGGCTAAATTAGCAATGAAGACACTCTCAACTAGCAACTGGTCTTTGAGGCACGTCCTCCTTACATCCTATAGATATATTATATCCATAAAAACATACGTAACAATGGTGAATGTTTGGTATGTGACCTGTACTTGATTGCAATTAAGTATTCCATAAAACATAGTGAAATAACAAAATAAATCGAATTTACATTGACATTTTTGAGATAATTATAAATTATTATCTATTGTTTTTTCCTGTTGTGTATAGATAGGATTATTAATGGATTAATCGATAATAAAAAAAGTGTATTTATCTTCCAGTAATTATAAGTCACGATTGTTATTTAGTTGGAATGGCAATCAACCTGATGCCACTTTGGATGGTCAGTGGTAACTGTCTCCTATATACACGAATGGCACTACGAACTATACGTTATTATGACGACTATTAAACCCTGTATGTTGCCATTCTGTACGCTGAATGCCACTCGGAAATCAAGGTATTATATGACGTTTGTTAAACATTTATGTTGCCATTATGGAAGTTATCATGCCTATTTATTATTAATCTCTAATTTAACTGCCTTATCTCGGCCTACAGCTGAAAAATCTTACAAAGCAAGCTGTTTGGCGGCTGGAATAGAAATCTGGGTGACGTTGAAACCTTTTTCCAAATTTTAAGCGTCCTCACACGTACACTTGGATTGTGAAATCAGCTACCTGCCGAGGTTTTCTCGAAAGACAAGGACAGCATGGGGTTTTTCAGGGTATATTATGGTTTCTTAAAGGTCGACAATGCGCACATGACACTCTTGGTGTTTTAGGCGTCCGTAGGCTACGGTAACCGTTTACCGTCAGATACCCTATGCTTGTTTGCCACCTATGTAGTATAAAAAATATATCTCAGTAAAATAAACGAACCTTGGCATGATCGCTGAGAATCTGTGCACGATCCATATCTCCAGGGTTCGCTAAAGCCTTCATTCCTTGTCCAGCACGACCATCTCTACCAGCGGCCTTACTTGAATACTGAAATAATTTGTTTTCCACATTTTAGTAGTTTATTTACTTTACACAGTATAAAGTCGTCGCCGCTGTCTGTTCGTATATATCTTTTAAATTACGCAAAGAATTTTAATGCAGTTTTCAGCAATATATAGTGTGATTCAAGAGTAAGATTTATACCTGTAGCTAGCTTTTGCCCGCGGCTTCGCTTGCGATATTTATAGGTTGGAATATATCAAAATCCTTTCTTAGGAGATGCCTACGTCATAGTAGCTTTATGCATGCAAAGGCTCAGCTCGATCGGTTTAAAATTGATAAAATTACATACAAACTTTCATCCCCTATTTTATCCCTTTGGGGGTAGAATTAATCAAAAGTCTTTCTTAGCGGATGCCTACGTCATAACATCTACCTGCATGCCAAATTTCAGCCCGATCCGTCCAGTGGTTTGGGCTGTGCGTTGATAGATCACTACATCAGTCACCGTTGAGTTATATATATGCAAAAAGAACAAAAAACTCAGACGAAAAGCGAATCGAAACGAAGAAATTTTTAAGCCGCCATGTCTTTAACATTAGATTGTTAATAAAATCGCGGAACATGGTTAGTGTGATATAAAAGGATTAAATTATCATAGTATTATCACGTGTAAAGCATAGATATATAAATTATATCGCAGTTTATAAGATCTCATGCGCTTCTGAGTTGCAAATAGGTAAATTCATAATGCTTCATTTCAAAATTATTATGACAGTAAATACGAGATTATCTGTCGTGATAACAATATTTATGTAATAATACCTATGTAATAATTTAAATTACCTAATTTTTGGTATCTATATAAATATATTTATAGACTAATTTCTTTTCTGAAACCTCTCTTTTATGCTTTGGATCTTAGAGAGTATAAATAATATAATATAGTATAAATAATATCAATAACAGTAGTAAGTCAAGTTTGATATTTAGTAAGGTACATGCAGATACATGGACTTTTATATACTTATTAATTATTTAATGCGTTGGAAATATTGAAGAATAAATTAACACAAGCTCATATTTTTTCTTCACATCCTGAATTTTTTTTTATACTTAGACCTACTTCTATTAGTCTTTAAGCAATCTATGAACTTAATCCCATATTGATCTCGTCAAGAGAAAAATTTTGAAAGGAAATAGCGCGATATCTCTTCTATCGTAACCTCTGTATATATTTTTTTATTTATTTATTTCAGGCTACTAATGGCCCCTATTATAAATACCTTATAGACTAACATGCATATATACATATGAAACAATAGAGTAATCATAAATCGTCCCTGTGATCACGGCACTGACGACGGCAATCTGCCACGGTAACGCCGATAATAATGCTGCCAGAGACTAAATTCAAATTAAAAAATCATTTATTACTGTAGAATATTGTACCCGCTTATGAACGTAATTTTGTTTATATTATAATTACCTTACCGTCCAGATCAAGAAACTCAATTAAATACCTTTTTTTTTAAGCCAGTTTATTTACAATGTATCTAAATATATATAACTCAAAGGTGACTGACGTAGTGATCTCTCAACGCACAGCCCAATCTACTGGACCGATCGGTCTGAAATTTGGCATGCAGGTAGATGTTATGACGTAGGCATCCGCTAAGAAAGGATTTTGATTAATTCTACCCCCAAAGGGTTAAAATAGGGGATGAAAGTTTGTATGAAACTTTGTCAATTTTAAACCGATCGGGCTGAGACTTTGCATGCATAAAGCTACTATGACGGAGGCATTCGCTAAGTAAGGATTTTGATAAATTCCACCCCTAAGGTGATAAAATAACGTGAGCGAAATTACTAGCTTTTGCCCGCGGGCAAAAGCTAGTAATTTTTATGTGTCTATGTCTAACATTAAATGAAAATCCCGTGCATGAACAACTATTGGCATGCACGGCCGTTATTCAAGTAATCGTTGCTCAGTAAATATGATTTAACAGATGTTTAAAACATACTATTACCCCATTTAGTGATAATTGAACATACAACTTTATCGCATATTATTAACAAAAATTATCACTCACCTACCTTTCTATAGTAATATATGCCGGCGAACACTGCATATTTTAAATAATACCACTTCCCAGGCACAGAGTAAACACCAAAAATAGGTTTAGGGTCTTTAGATCGGAACTTGTATATTAGTAGAAGAAATATAAATGCGACTATACCGATTAAAAGCGTCATTATAACAGTTTCTACGGCATATATGTATTATTTGACTATATACGTATACTCTGCTTCACTGTAGATTAAAACGGGAATTGATAATGGACTTGACATGGTCAGATAAGATTGAAGACAAGTCCGCTAACTTATTAGAGTAGATTAGGTAGCTATTATTGCAATTGGACAATTCAATTAATTTTATAGAAATTGTCGATAGATACGTCAGTTTGTATGATACTAGCTATTGCCGCGGTTTCAATTTTTACTGTTTTACTTCTGTTGGTCGCCAGTGTGATTCCTCGCACGGTGCAAACATTTATATTCATGATTATGATTGTTCGTATCGGTCTGGGTGTTTTACGTATGTATTTACAAATTAAAATATATCTAAGTATTTACATCAGTTGCCTAGTACTCATAATACAAGCTCTACTTACAGTGGGACTAGATGGCGCTGTGTTAATTGTCCAGGGTTAAGAAATGGCTGCCTCGAACTCGTGCCTACATTCATTTAGTATTTTATTGCTTTTTATTGGGGAATGTCCGAGTGATCTGAGTTAAATAATAAAGAAAATAGGCTAGAGTAGTAATTTTAAATAGTTCTGCTCATTTTACACTGTGCTATTTAGTGTCAGCACTACGAGTTTTGAAATTATATTTTATAAATATTCGTATTTATTTTAATATTATTAGTTTTTAACAAGGATGTTATGGATACGAAATTTCGGATACGGATAGGTTTCGGATATAGGAATGATTATTATACCATATACGGGTACGGATACAGATATGAAATAAGTTATCATTTTTTCGGAAAATTTCAGTTACGAATATTATTTTTTTAAAGAATTCCAAAAGTAAAAACCAAATAGCTAATAAAATGGTTACATAAAGTATCTCAATTAGGCTCGGCCCCTATCCGATATTATCCGAAACTTTTATTTCGTGTTCGGTTACTGTTACCACAGATAACATAATATTACATACTGTTACGGAGCGCCCTAACATCCTTGGTTTTTATACGTATAGTATTTAAATTAGATACCTACTCTATAGAATATTATTATACTTAAGTAATAAAATAATTTATGTAGTACTTGATAATAATAAAATAGACAAGTAGGAAATTTAGGTTGCTTTAATAAAAAAAAACACCTTTTAAATGAATAACTTTAATCAACTTACTTTCTAAACATTTTAAACAGCAAATTTTAAAGCCACAAAAGCTACACATTTTATAAAAGGATACCACAGTTAATATTTAATTAATACTTTTAAAAGTACATGTATTTATTCTAATATTAATTTTTAACAATATTCGGAACATATATAAGGAATGAAAAAAATACATACATATATATACATAAAACCAAAATATTACACACAGGCATCAGCGCCACATTAATAAGGGTTTTCGGAAATCGATACTTAACTTTATTGTTATTTGTTTATTTTATACATTACTATTTTAATCAGAAACAATATGTTAAGAGCGCTTCCTGTATATGGCAATTATAAAAAAAAAAAACATATACTATTAGGTACTTGTTGTTTTAAGATGAAGAATTTATATTCCGTGGTAATATAAACAAATTGATTATACTCTTTGATGTAATTATTAATTTAAACCTCTTTTGATGTATATTTCACAAATGCATTTACAAAGTTAAGTATTGTATACTTTGTTTATGGTTTTTTTACAAACTGTCCATAGATAATACAACCAGTATTGAATAGGGAACTAAATCTTTAATTTGTAGTGACATTTTCGGTTACGCTAATTATTATAATATAAGAATGAGGTTAATTAAATTATAACATAAACGTTGGTTAACATTACATTAGAATCCCAATTAAGTAATTTTAAGTAAAAGTCCTTTACCAAAACAAAGTAAAAGTAGACATTCCATAAAAAATAAAAATATAAATTCCAAACTAATCAAAATATAATTTTGAAATAAGAATCTTTATTTTTTTTTATTACACTCAGTATTTTATTACCAGCCAGTGTCCCTTATATTAAAACTAAATACACTTTCTAATTTATACAAAATAATTTTTATTTTACTATTTGCTAGAAATAGTTATTAATAAGAGGCGAATTCCGTTAAAATCAACCATATTCAATTACTGTTTCGTATTTATTTCTTATTTTAGTATAAGATTTTGTGCAAATGTTTTATTATTTAAGTAAAAGGTAATTACGAACGACCTTAGTTTAGTTATTCCGTCTCTTTCACACTTATAAATGAGAGTGAAATAAAAGTAGCTGCTTTTGCGTCAGTGCCGAGTTGAGAACATATTGTCAGTTGCCCTGCAAGCGTCTAACTTATCTTCCTATAGTCGAAAATAAGTATTTGGACGTTATTATGCAACGTTATTGCAATAATTTCTAGCATGGCGGGGAAGTGATTGTCAGTAATGTGGATTTATAAACCCATTGCTTACACTGTACCATGTTAGGTTCCACGCGATTGATTCCAAAACTCTGGAAACCATCATGAGAAATGACCAACATGTCTGCTTGATCTCCAAGTGGTTGACCTTGGAAACTATCATGATAAATTTACCAGAAATTTATCATGATGGTTTCCAAGGTCAACTGACCTATCCTCATGATGTTCATCGTATCATCCTCCACTGGTGCCCCGCCAGCGTATACCGTTAGCGCGGACGGCAAACTATGCATTTAAAATAGCAGTCTTTAGGTTGTTTCTATTATTATTGACATTGAGTTGTAAGTTCTTGCACTTGCTGAAACTTAGTTCATACACAATCGCAAAACTTTCAAATTAAATATAACATTTTTTTTATTAAGGATTATTTAATATTGTTGTATGCAATAATTTTACATAATAGCGCTCCTGTACTAAGAATTATGTATATTATATGTTGCTATGCGAATACTATATCTACAAGCTATATTTGGTTTACTAGATCGCGAAGCATTGTCCCAACGATGTCAAGATTAAATATACGAAGCTCATATCTGACCAGAAATAAAAATAATTACTTGTATCTATTAATATATTATACATGTTTAACAATGAAACAAAATATTATATAATGATTTTTCATTATTTCACTCCATTCTGAGATAAAAACCATCGCTACTAAGAATAAGCTATCCCGAACCGATAAAAGATTTGGAGGGTATTCTTAAAAGTTAAGGTTTTTATCTCCAAAGGATAGATCTTTGAGTTTGGGTAGCGAACTCTGAAATTGGAGGGGACAGGTGACAGACAATGTGGCCAAATAATCTCACCTCCACGTTATTCCACCACCTGGAAACCACCCCGTTAAATTTCTGGTGAATTTCTACGATCGACTAACTGATCTGACCTCATACTCATCACCCTGCACTGGTGCCCCGCCAGCGTAAACCGTTAGCGCAGGCGGGTGCACCATTTCTTTATAAGCGATTATAAATACTGAAATAGTGCATGCACATTAGATCTCCGCAAGTTGCAGTGATCTAAGAGTCTAGCAACAGTCTAAACCCCTATATAAAAAAATCATATTATAACAAATTTTGTATGTTATATCTTTTGTTTCATTATTACTAATTACTTTTAAAAAACGGAAATTCGACTTTAAAGCTTTATAACTTTAAAGTTGTTTTTCCAATTTTTTCTTATTTAATTGCAGTTTATAGACTTCGTATTAATTGTTGTATAAAATAGTTATGTATCTTTTATTTTTTTCAAAAATGGAATAAAATCTTGTTGGTCATAGCTTCTACTGATAATTATCAAAACTTTTTAAATCCACAGGGCAAACAGTGTTGGTCCCATATACATTTTTTTGTTTTATCACACAAACAAAAGAGAGTAAGATCTGCGAACTAGTTCGCTTAGTTCGTGTTTAGGAGTTACACAAGCCTACTTCGCTACTTCGTCTGTAACACTACCGATATAGAATTAAAATAAATTTCTCATTACGGGAATTACGTGCCTCTCACTAAATATTATTCTGAAGACTAATCATGTGTTTTTTATAGCAAAGGGGACAATCGAGCTTTTTATACATTAGTATCGGTTACGGCTCACCTGATGGTAAGTCATTACCGCCGCCCATGAGCACACGTATTTCCAGGGGAATTGCAAGTGCGTTGCCGGCCTTTTAAGAAGGAATATGCTCTTTTCTTGAAAGACAAAAATAATCATTATTCTTAAATATTAATAATGACTAACTAGTAGTAACTGCAGTTTAGGTTAATTTAATTCATTAAATTATTTTTCAATTATATAGTAGTAGGTAATTTTTTTTAATTTGATTTTCTTTCATGTTATAATTGTGTTGCTATTATTTTAAAAGCATCTTCTAACAAGTTCTATCGAATACTGTTAATTTAACAATATATATTATTTCTGGTCAGATATATATTTAATGTACATAGAGTTACGACTACAATGAAATATAGACGGATAAAAGTTCTAACTACTTATCTATGGTATATTTATTATTGTTTATTGTTACATCTGGCCTCTACAGTATTGTAAGGCCATTATTCCTTAAATATAGGGTGTCGGTATAAACAAAATATTAGACAAAATAAAAAAAAAAAACTAAAAAAAAACATTTACTCTTCTTATCTTTAAAATAAATATTATAGGTTTCACATGGCGTAAGACGTAAGTTATTTTTTTTTATTTAATAAGCGGCTATTGCCAACGCAAACCGTACAAATTAGAACAAAGTATAATATTTCGTATAACTTCGACAAATGAATCGTTAATTTAGATTCTTCTTTCTACTTCGCGCCTATCGGTTCTAGTAATCGTTTAGAAATCAAAATGGCCACTAACATTTTACATCTGTGGAGATTTTTATTACTGGCAACCTCTAAAACCATAGACTAATCCAGTTATTCATAAAAATATAACGACCAATAAGTTTATATAGTGTTTCATTCCTATGGTCCTAATATTGCAATTTATTTGATTTATATATGCAATCTATATATTAAATATAACAAAAATCTATTCAAAATAACCTATGACTGTTTCGTTATTATATGAGTAATGAAATTGCAATAACAAATATTGGTTCTCAGTACTAACACATAGAATTTAGTTATGGTATTTAGAAATATAATCATGTAATCTGAAATAAATAATTATTAAATTCATAATTCGAATTAAGAATCTTTATACCAAACACTCGTAATATTTGTGTTATCTGTCAAATTAAAAAAATAAATAAAAGCAATGTTTAATATATGTGAATGATTACTTAAAATGTGCTTTAGTTTTGAATTAAATATTCAGTAATTTTTGCAGTAGCCTGAAAGATTTCTACACACACTGTGGCCTTGTTTATCACATATAGAGCTGCTATAAAAAGCATATTGGAGTTATACATTTTTATGAATAAGTACTATTTACATATCAACACATAAATGCAATACGTTTGGATCCAAAACAAATTCACAAAGTTAATTAAATAATGGTGCATTAAATCCATATGCTAGAAGGCCCTTACGCATCCTAGTTTCTGGAGGCACCGATGATGGTCAGAATGTATAAGAAGATGTTGACAATATCCAGGTAGAGGTTCAGGGCTGCGAAGATGTATTCTTCGGGGGAGATGCTGTATTTATGCTTGCCTCCCATCATAAGTTGGGTGTCGTAGACGAGGTAGAAGGAGAAGAGAAGAGCACCCAGCGACGCGTACACAAGAGTTACGATGTTGTTACCCCGCATGAATATGGCGATCAGGCCTGGAAAATTACAAAAAATGCATTATTATTAATAATAATGCATTTTTTTTATTGTGGTAAATAAATGTTAACTAATTTTTTTGTGTGTGTTCAGTTAATTCTTTAATTTCCTATTTGGTTATTTTGTTTTAGCGCAAGCCTATATACTTTGTGTTAATTCAGTGAAACCTATAGTAGCTTTAATATTACTACATATATTAATGTAAATTAAATTGCAACGCCGTTGGTTTCTAAAAAATAAAAAAAATACAACATATTCTACTTACCAAAGACAAGTAGAACGACAGTACAACAGAGCAGCACGCCGCCCATCATTGTGAAGTCCCATTTCGTTTGCAGTGCGAACAGCGTCAGGGCGAGACACACCGCAGCTGTTATACCTACCGCCATCAACACCTGGAACATAATACATTTACTTCGTTAAGAACAGAAAATAGAATGAGATTTCAAACTCAGAACCTTTTATCCTTTCGGTCTCTTCAGCACAATCACAAATTTTATCCCTATTCCTACCGAACTCAAGGGTAGGGATAGTGATAAAAAAATACATCAATACCTGGAACACAGTACATTTACTTCATTAAGAACAGCAAACAGATAGCAAATAGTCTAATCAGTGTTCGTAACCCCAACAGACAAATCCCCACAAGCATCGCTGTTACTCCAGTCAGCTCGTGATCACTGCTAGTACAACCTAGTCGAAACGTTATCTTATATATAAAATTCTCGTATCACAGTTTTTGTTCCCATAAAAAAAAAAAAAAAACGAAGGGTAGGGTAGCGATGCAATCGATTAATCGTAGCTCCGTATAAAAATATTTTTATAAATAATAATATACTATAAAACCTGTTTAAAACCGTTTAAGTTGACTAATTGTGATACAATAGTGATCAGTGAAACTAATACGAAGGACTCCATGGATGAAAACTGTGAGTGAATTGTACTTACCAAGAATATAATTGTACCAGCCGCATAGCGATAACACTTTCAAACAAAAATAGGCATAGAAACCCAATGCAAATTGAAGAAGAGTGAATACGATCAAAATCATATAATAAAATAAAGATAAGCAATAGCATAAATAATACTATTATATGAACATCAACGCACTTGCCACTTGGATGTTATTGTTTATTATTTACTGCATTACTGGTATGTCACTAACACATAGTGGAAGACATCATTTTATGAGTATACACCAAAACACCAACAAAACATCTAACTGTGATAACTGCTTTGGAACGTCGAGGATAAACATTGTACGACGTAGAAAACGATACTAAATAATTACGAGCGCAACGGACCGGCCACCATCACTGCATAATAAACTTACCTACCGTCGCGTCGGAACACAAAATATAAACCCTACGGACTTGTGTGATGTTTATTAAATATACTGAATTGAGCTGATGGGACAAAATTAATGGGATTACTGATTATTATAGTTAAACAATATTCTTATTGTTTGCAGTTTGAAATTTTATTTAGCAATGAAATGAGACTGTGTTGTTCGCAAACACTTAATTTAATATTTTTCAACGACACTTGTTTTACTTTTATATTATAGGTTTATTCCTATCTTCGTTCATGTTTAAATTAATTAATAATTGTGAATATGCTTGGGATACATCATATTGATTAATCTAATATAGTTGAGTAATTAAATTCATAACATTGGATACAAATTAATTAGATATATATTTTAAACAACTTTACATGACAATTTGATTTTTGATTACTGGCGTAAAGATAGCCATACAAGGAAGTAGAATTTCTTCATTGTATTTTAAAATTTATAGTGTTGGAAGTAAGTACATAGTTTAATAGCAGTCAATAATGGCTTATGAAAACGTGACTTACAGAAAACCAATAAAATCAAGTTCACTACATGATGTGTCTGATACCAATTCTTCAATATTTGATTCAACCATGTTGAGCTTACCTAACAATACATCGTTTACCGACAATCAAATTGAAGCAGAATTGACGGATAAAATAAAGAAACTGACAAATGATTTGGAGATGGCTCATCAGGAAATTGAAAATTTAAACAGTGAAAACTTTCAATTAAGAACACATCTTGAAAAAAGTAATAAATTAGTAGAAACTCTAAGAAAGGTACAGACATCACCCTTGACTCCTTTGTCGGGTCGGAAAAATAGGAAAAGTACTAATAATATTCCACATACACCAAAAACCACAAAACTACCTAATGTTACCTTAAGTTCGAGCTCACAATTTGAAAATAAATTGAATCAGTTAAAACACACTGCTGAATGCAATGTAGTACCACAACAAAATTTATTAACTGTGGAAAAAAATGGTAATCCAAATAATACTGAAGATAATAGAAGCAAAAGAAACGAAAATAAAAAAAGAAAAATAATAGTAATAGCCGATGACCAAGGGCAAAGAGTTCAAAAAAATCTTCAGGAATTGGTTGGCGATGAGTATTTAGTTAGCTGTTATTGGAAACCCGGAGCTAGAATAAAAGAGGTTCTATCTGCAGAAAAAAAGTCTATTAGTGAATTAAACAAGAATGATTTCGTGATACTTCTTGGAGGAATTAATGATAGAAATCCCTATGATTTTCAAGTCTACATAAATAAATGGCTCGAATCGGTACTTAACACAAATGTTCTGATTTCTGAAGTACCATATAATTATTATCTAAATGAGTGCAAAATTAATTATGAATTGAAATTTATAAGTACAAAATATAATAACACAACGTTTATTGATATGAACTACTACTCGCACAGACCTAAACGTGGTTATTTTGCATTAAACCTATGTCAATTGGTACTTAGAGAGGTATTGCGTATTGATCATAAGATAAAATATTCTGATTACTTGAAACAAGTGACAGCCCGAAAATGTACTTTACCTAATTCACTAAACAAAAGTACACAAACAGAAGAAATAATAGATATTCCAATAAACACCGAACACCCGATTACTCTTTTTCGTGAATCTTACAGATCTAGAACAATATTAAATAAAATAGGAATACCTCAAGGAAGTATACTTGGTCCATACATTTTTTTGACTTATATAAATGATTTACCTGACATAACAAAACACAAATGTATTATGTACGCTGACGATACTACCATAGTAGTAAAATGTAATAACAAAAATGACATAGAAAGACAAATTATTAATACTTTACAAAGCGTTATAAAATGGTTAACTGAAAATAATTTACAAATTAATTTAAAGAAAACTAAGATAATGCAATTTGGTACATATAATTCGAATAATGTGAAATTAAATATTAATTATTGTAATCAATCTGTGGAAGTAGTGGACAATACAAAATTTTTAGGTATAATTGTAGATAGAAATTGTAATTGGAAGTCTCACATAGATGCATTATGTAATAACCTTGACCGATTCGTTCATGCAATAAGAAAACTGCGTTTATCAGTTTCCAAACAGGCTGCATTGAACGCATATCATGGATATCATGGATGTTTCTTCCAAGCTATCCTATGGATTAATAATATGGGGAAACTCTGTGGATGCTACTAGGGCATTTATCGTGCAAAAGAAATGTATAAGAGCTGTGTGTGATGCCAGAGTAAGAGAAAGTTGTCGATCTCTTTTTAAAAAATTAAACATCCTTCCATTGCCATGTATGTATATTAAAGACATTTGTATATTTGTAAGGGAACATCCTGACTATTTTAAGAAATTAACAGACACAACACTGCGAGTAACGAGACCTAATGATAGACTATACACACCAATGTGTCGATTAGACTTACATAAGAGAAATGTATACTGTATGGCAATCAAAGTGTACAACAATCTTCCAAGAGAGATTAAAGAACTGGGGTCTCATACGTTATTCAAACTCAAACTAAAGAATTGGCTGTCACTTGGTAACTTTTACAGTGTCCAAGAATATTTGAGTGGCACAAGCGCCTTCACGTAATTTGCATGCCTGTATGGTAAATATTGCTGATCAATGGATTTCATGTGGCATCGTATTAATTATACTACTGTACCAATATTTCGCAAATAAATTATTTCATTTCATTTCATTTCATTTCATACTCCTCCGAAACGGCTTGACCGATTCTCATGAAATTTTGTGAGCGTATTGAGTAGGTCTGAGAATCGGCCAACATCTATTTTTCATACCCCTAAATGTTAGGGGTAGTCCAACCCTAATTTTTTTTTATTTTAAGGCAAAACTACGTTTTCCGGGACAGCTATTTTACTATAAAATTATTCGTGTTTAGACCCGGTCAACGATATAAATAATGTACATTAAAGACGAAAATTTAAAAAGAATAAATTGACCCCACAACTTTGTTTTGCCATATAAATTAAAATCGCTATTAAAAAACAGGGGTTCATGGAGGTATGTATTTTTTAATGCTATTATCACTTAGAGGTAGGAAAGCCATATAGTAACCGATTCCCAGACCTACGGAATATGCATATAAAATTTTAATCGCCCAAGTCGTTTCGGAAGAGAATAGTAACTAACAGCGTGACACGAGAATTTTATATACGCATAATGCTTATACATATACATATCAAATAGGCATAGGCTTTTTTTATAGGCAAAGAAAACAGAAATAAACCATAAAAAAGGTTTTTATGGTTTATCTATGTTTTCTTTTCTCTATGGTTTGTTTATAAGTAAAATTTTCTTTGTAATAAATTTATATATTTTGTAAATTTTGTTAGACAATACGTGATGGGTAACTACATTGCATGTAATTTTTTTTTAATTATATAAACTAGGTGGAGTACATCGATATTCGCAACACAGTTTTATACTTCTGAATATCATCGTTTCTTCAGTAAATTAGTACACATGTTTTCTATATCTGTGTGAAAGATGATATGGTAAGAAAGGAAGTAAATAACGCGATGACTGCGAACAGGGGTGAATGGAAGCGAAAAACATATTACGCCGACCCCAAATAAATGGGATAAGGAAGAAGCAGATGATGATGATGATGATGATATGTTTTCTGTATTAAGTAAATAAATATATAAGATATACTCACAGCATCGACATCATAAACGCTGGAGGCGACGCCCAGTAGGAAACTCTGCGCGAGGGTGAATATGCCGAGGAATATGAAGTTCATGGGGGCCTTCCTACGAACGTCTCCACAGCACGCCATCACAATCAGAGTGACAAATGTCACTGCGAACGCAACCCAGCTGAAACAATCATTTAACCACATTGTAGCGTAGTAGTATCACCCCACCACTGTAGCGTCATGTATGATGTAATGAGATGTCGCCATGGGCTCAGCATGGCAGCAGTAAAAAATAAGCCACTAAGGAGCAGGTCATTGACACTGAGGGTGACACAGCTGGAATCAAGTCATAACGCGAGTTTCGAGGCTTTTGTGGCCCGAGTTCCCACCAACATGCTGACCACCTTCATGAAGGAGGACTACTGGCTGAAGGATGTGGTGTATCGGCGCTACTGTGGCAGATTACCGTCATCAGTGCCGTGACCACACAAACAATTTATATTAAATTTAATATATTTCATATGCATGTTAGTCTGTAAGGTATTTATAATATGGGCCATTAGAAGCCTGAATTAAATAAATAAACAAAATGTTATGTAATTAGCACACTATATCCGCGTTCTGAGGCAGATTATTCTTTATATAAAACGGTTACACCCTGTATATATATATAATTTTTTGCTTGAGCTTGAACTTTCTTACGGATATTAAGTGTCGTAGTTAGTACTTAGATAGATCATCATCATTATTATTATTATGGATTGTCCATGTTTACTTACAACATGCCTGGGTTCCTATGCACCCACATCTTGGTAGGTTGGTGGAATATGAATAGAGCTATGAATCCCATGGTGACCATGAGCTGACACATGAGGATGGAGTACACCTGAAATAAATAAAAATAACTTATAAACCTAATTTATAAAGGCACCTAACTCTATTAGAAGGCTTGGTGGACCAGCTGTTTAAAACACCACTTTATTTACAATGTGCAATAATCTCATGTTTGATTCCTCGCACACTAAACATTTGTATTCATGAATATTATTGTTTTTATCGACCCAAGAATTTACTATGTATATAATGTATGTATTTACAAAAAACTAGTATTTATATCAGTTGTACCGTACCCGTACCCGTAACACAAGCTCTGCTTAGCTATGGACTAGATAACGCTGTTTGAATTGTCCAGATTAATTATTACTTGATGGTAAGTGGTAACTGTCGTCTATTACATACATTTTCCTCCGTCCAAGTCAAACGGGATCGAAATTACAACGGCCTGAGCCGAGATTCAAACCCCAAGCAGTGCCCTTAGTCAAGTCGTATCCGTCAGGCAGGAGTCGGTTTCAGTCGCTCCATAAGTCCTTCCACGAGTTTGGAGTACCATTTAATAGGCCAGCTTCTCGTAAAGGCCAGCTGCGGCCAACAGTATTAGAAAATTTCGAAAAAAAAATTAAGTTTTGGGAATCAAATTTGTGACCGTGCAAAAGTGGTGTTTAATAAAATAAAAGGTTACTTACTTTCCTTATGAAGGACCTTCTGATGCTCTGCTCGTTAAAATCGAACCCCTTGACCTCGCCATCCTCGCCGACGCTTTCCGTCGGACCGCCGTAGCCTGGTTGCTGTAAAAAAATATTACAAATATAGAGATCTTCAGCATCATCAGGTCATGGAAATTTGTTACAAAAATATATTATTTATTCTTTATTCAAAATATCGTTATACATACCGGTCTATTACAGACTCTTATAATATGTGAAATCTACCGTCAGTTCAGAATGATTTCGAGATGAGAAGAACTGACAAGAAATTCAGCTCGTATTCTTTACAAATAAATGTTGTACATGTTTACAATAATACAGAATAGATACATTATTAAATTTAAATTTGTGAGAATAGTGACCACCAGCATATGCTATTGCAACAGAATGCTATTGCATAATAATCTCTTGTACAGCAGGCGAGTATAATGCTGTATGTCATTCTCTCCCAGATAATTTTAATGTATTAAGAAATATCTCATATAAATAATGTTAATTTCATTATTTATTTATTCCTTAATGTAGAATAGAACTTGTACAAAAATGTAAGCTTAAGCTAAAAAGCTTAAGCTTCTCCACCAGCTAACCTTTACGTATACAGAAAGCGTTGTGGAGCAGTTATGACGAAAAAAGGTCAATGTTCCATTCTTCCTGTGTTCCGTTTAGTGTTTCTTTCCTACAATTAGCGCACCCATGCCAAGCCGAAGTGATAATATGGCAAAAAATAAAATTATTTAACAAAAATATACAAGATTTTTAATTCCAACCAGCACTGGAGGTGTGTACGTATGTATCATTAGGTACTGTACTTCAGCGTATCACGATTGTTTTTACGTGAGAGAGAGTCCCCCTCCGATCGATCCCCCGTTCAATTTATGCGGGGATCGATATTACGACGGCGTGAGCCGAGGTTCGAACCCTTAGCGGTGCTCTCAGGTTAAAGTCGTATCCGTCGGGCGGAAGTTGGCCTTCAGCCGCTCCATAATTCTTCCCGCGGGTTTGGAGTGTCATCAGCACTCCCCGTATACCGTCTGGTGACGCTGTAAAGGCCAGCTGCGGCCAACAGCATTAAAAACGTGAGAGAGATAACTGTTTAATCCATTTTAATTAAAATACTATGTACTTATAAGAGAACATCACTGTCCATTACCTGATACATGTTGTACGATCCTTTGGTCGATAACAACTGCATTAAATATATGATAACAATTTATCGCCATGATAAGCCGATAACTAAACATTTTCGATAGTAATATTTTTACGGCCAATCGCATTGCGATTTGCACCTATTTGTTCCGTAAATAACTAGCGCAGAAGCGTCTCCCCAAACCGTACAGATAACATACGAGTGTTTGCAATCATGTAGAAAAAAACAAAATAAACGTTAGTAAATTAAAATTTTTTGAAGAAGGGTGTATGTTGCAATGCTTTAATACGAAATGGGACTATATATTTTATTCATTCACACACAAACTAAGAATAGAATAGAATAGAAAATTCTTTATTCAAATAAACATACATGTAAGCACGTTGGCATAGTCATATTTTTGAATCCACCGCGCTCTCTTATCATAGGCAGAACGATCAAGACAATTGCGTGTTGCTCTTTTAAATAATTATTGTAACTTTACATTTTTAAGTTGAAATGTTTACATTGAATGAAATGAATACAAACTACTACAACTTAGAGTCATAATATCCCCTCCGATCGATCCCCCGTCCAATTCAAACGGGGACCGAAGTTACGACGGCCGGAGCCGAGGTTCGAACCCCTAGCGGTGCCCTCAGACTAAAGTCGTATCCGTCAGGCAGGAGTTGGCCTTCAGCCGCTCCATAAGTGCTTCCGCGGGTTTGGAGTGCTATCTGTACTCGCCGACTATCGTCCGGTGAAGCTGTAAAGGCCAGCTGCGGCCAACAGCATTAGAGTAGTTCAAAACAAAAAACAGTTAGCTCTTCGAGGCGACTTATCCAGGAATTAACTAAGATGGATTCCATGAGACCCCGCGTGTAGGCCACTGACATCAATGAGTTTTTCTAAGGGATGACGCACTCGCCTGCACTATTAAACTAACTCTGGCGGGGCACCAGTGGAGGATGAAAAGACGAGTATGAAAAAGCTGTAAAGGCCAGCTGCGCCCAACAGCATTAGAGTAGTCCGAAAAAAAATCATAATATTAAATATATAACTGATTGAGTAATTAAATAAGAGTTGTCTAGCGGTTTAGCATACCGTTTTACTTCCAATCTTCACGTGTTCGATTCCTCGCAACGTACAAATCATTTCATGAGTATTGATTGTTTGCATCAGTCCGGGCATTTTCTATGTATTTACAAAAAAAAAAGTATTTATATAAGTTGTCTGGTACCCATAACACAAGCTCTGCTTAGCTTGAGACTAGATGGCGCTATGTGAGTTGTTCTGAGATTTTTTTTATTTGCAGTAATTAATCGTACTTGTAAATAACTTACAATAGGTAGAACGCGTGTGGTACTGGGTAATGTCATTAACATCAAATACATTTCTGTAATTCTACATCCTGTTGTAGCAATGCGTCGGATAGTAGATACTCAGAGAGACAATAATGACGGAGAGTCAATAATTATTCTTAAAATAAATTAACTAAAATTTTAAAGTAAATTATTATTGATACGTATAATTAGTAAAAATCACGGGATCTTACCACGTTTTATATTTATTTGCTGAGTTCCCGATATTTCGGTAGTGTTTCAACCACCATGATCACGGGTAAACTGAAGAGCAGCGGGTAGATGGAAAATGAAATCTTTTTATGGGCAGACATATGCGTCTACCTTCACACGTCTTCGTTTGTTGCTACTACTGGAACTCGCTCGATATTCATCTCGGCAAACTGTACTCACAGTATCTTTACGTACATTTAATACACTTTGTGAGAACCCGCTGCTCTTCAGTTTACCCGTGATCATGGTGGTTGAAACACTACCGAAATATCGGGAACTCAGCAAATAAATATAAAACGTGGTAAGATCCCGTGATTTTTACTAATTATACGTATAAATAATGACCGCGTCAAGTTTAAAACAAATTATTATTATATTCGGAATATTATAGTATTTATGCTAATATATGTACAACCTGACAATAAGTCATCAATTCGTCATGGCTTACTTGATGACGATTCCCCGCAAACAGATAACAAATTGATAAATCGACTATGTTTGGAAAGGATATAGATAATTATGATTCATTTACTTCAATTGATGATTCAAATTCAACGACATTATTTAATGGCCAATAAAATACTTTCCTAACAACGCTTCCTTCTGGCTAGGGAAGCGGTATGATCGATAAACATCGATGTTTACATCGATATTAAGTCACCGATAATATCAATAAAAAAATCATTCAAAACGCGACGCGTCATTCGAAATATGACAAGATATCAGATAGGCTAAAAGGAAATATCGATATTTTCTGACATACCTAGATGTTTCTCGTATTTACATACTTGTAAATGTAATAACGAATGATAGTAGATAGATATGTTTATAGATTGCTGATCTCAGTGACAGAAGTGAAAATATATACAATACTTAAAAAAAAAAAGATATATATTGACGTTTCTCTGTAAACTGGTCAACTCTTCGTTTCAGATCAATATACAATATACATAAAAAAAAATAGATCGTAAATATTTTCAAAAATTAATAAATCAATCACCTGCTGCTCAACGTTTAAATTCATTAATATAAACTTTATTTTATCAAAATCATTTTTATAGGCATTTATTTGACTACAATGAGATTCACTGGCAGTTTACTTATATCTACAAATATCATCGATGTTTACTAATGATGATGATCTAACATCACTACTATGATATACTACAGTGGTTATGACTTATGACAATGGGCGTAGCTGTGATTTTATTCAGGGTGCCCGATTCTTTTCTTGGTGGTATACAGGTCCTATTTATTACTATACTTTAAAATACTTACCTCTCCGTAGCCTCCATAGCCAGGTTGAAAGCCAGGTTGAGGTGCTGAGGGGTACTGTGGTTGTGGGTAGCCTCCCGGTGGATAGCCTCCTTGTTGGGGATAGCCTCCTTGCTGGGGATAACCCCCTTGCGGGGGATAGCCTCCTTGCGGGTAACCGCCTTGTGGATACCCACCCTGTGGGTAGCCTTGATTTTGGTCTGTAATTTGGAAATAAAATAGAATTTCATTAAAAATTCTAGTTTTAAGTTAGTCTGTTCGAATTTGTATTTATTGCATTACATTTTTTTTCTAATTTACAATTATTTACTTAATAGATGAGGTGGCACTTTCTTTTCGTGATATTTGAAATAAAAAGTAACATGGCAATTTTTTTTGTTTTTAACACTAAACGTTATGGGAAGCATGTCATAATACGTCAGTGAAAACCGCATTCAAATCAGTCAAGCCATTACCGACGTTAGCGTGCACATACGCACAGAAAAACAATACTATTGACCTCGGTAACTTAACTACATCGTGTAACTGTGCTGTTTTCTCGCGTTCTGTAGACACGCGGTTCATATACGATTATATTGTATGAACGATTTTACTATATGATTTACAAATTCGAACGGACTACTATTTTTCAAGCACAGAGAAGCACACCCTTAACAGCCACATCAGACACTGCACTGAAGGAACAAAGTTTTTTTTAACTACACAAGATGGCGGAAAACCATAGTGTGGTGACAAATGAATTTTAACTTTTTAATTTAGTAGCTAAATCAAGGTATTAATTACCACACTCGACTTTCATACATAACACATAGAAAAGTAGCCTACAACGAGAAATAACAAGATTTACATATACTAGCCCCTATTATTACATATATTTAATGATTTCTCTTTTTTTTATCCATACCCATACAAATCAATCCTGGATATGAACTTCCAGGCTTACTATCTTATTTTCCACGTTGTTTTCTATGTTCGAAATAGATTTCCATAAAAATATTTTTATAATAACATTTAAGTGTAAGTGATACAAAATATTTATGAATTATTTGGGAGTGTTAAAAAATTATCAACTATTAGAACTGGCATACAAGCTAACGATCCTGAATAGTCTTACAAGTTTCTACATGAAAAGTATAGATATACAAAATATAAGAAACAATGGCTTTTCATGAGAGTCATGAAACATCGCAATATTTTCATTATTATAATAATTATGCGATTAATAATAGAACAATTAATTAAGATAAGATATATTTAAAACAATAATATAAATATATATCTGATATACAGCAATCAATGTTGTATGTGGCTAATCAGAAATGTATTTCTTATTCTAAATTGGTAGTTCTTTTATTTTTTTGTTATTACATTCTTGTTTTCTATTTCATTCTGTCTTGTCAATCGTTTTATATACATATACATGTATCTCCGTATACAAAGTCTTTTTTCTATAGTTTTTTTTTATCCATACATACACATATAACATAAAACTACAACAATTAAAATAAAATTATTCAATTTACATGAAATATTTAATTATTTGCTTCTGTATATTGCGAAAAATCTATATATAAATACAAATCTGTCTGTACGTTTATTACCTATGCAAGACTACGAGTAACCTGATCTCATAAAGATTGAATATGACGAAGATGGCAGGCAAAGTAACAGGTAACAGTTGGTGATGATATAAAGATAAGTCCGATCACAGACAGAATCATATGTAAGTATGTGGATATAAACTTATTTTTATTATTAAAAATCCATTGTAATATAAAATTATAATATTCCTTATGACAAAACAAATATATTTAAGAAAAAAAAAAACAAAATTAAGATCATTTAATATAAATTAGTAATATTTCTTAAATCATAAATATAATAAAAAAAAAGAATTTTAAATTTAATCGCCAGGATAGTATCCGGCTCAAAGCAATTCAACGCAGAAATGCTGCCAGCGTTATAGGCTGTATATATATCTTGTAATTAAAAAAAAACTTTGTTTTAGTCTAAATCGTTTGCATGTATTTTGTTCGATTAAAATTATATTTCATTACATTTAATTATAGTAAACATAAAGTTTTTAAATCCAGAGAAGATATAGTTATAGATAGACCTTGAGATATAACATTAAGCACAGTTAGTGAACATCTTTAACCTATGACATTGCACCCACGCGTACCAACAAGTTATACAAGGTCAATGCTGAATCGTCGCTCACTTCATAAATATAACTATAGGTGGTATAATAGTCGAAATACGGGGGGAAAGGGGGTTGTTAGTAATGTGGACTGATAACCCCATTGCTAGCAATGTGCCATGTCAGGTTGACCTCCATGCGGTTCCCCCTGGAAACCATTGTAATAAATTCTTGGTAAATTTGTAACAATGGGCTAACTGACCTGACCTCATACTCATCTTATCATCCTCCACTGGTGCCCCGCCAGCATATACCTTAGCGCCGGCTGGTGCATCATTCCATTATCATACATAAAAAAAAGAGTCGAAATACGATCATAATTAATTAAATTAGGGTTATGTTTCACATTCAGTAAGACTATAGGTAATTAATATTATAAGAGTAACAGTCTATTCTCAATTTGATATATGCGTTTTTGATATATGTATTTTCTTATTGTATCAATGTATTTTTATTCATATCTTTTTTAAATATAAGCAATCTGCTCTCCTATTCTATAGAAACGATTACATGTACATGTGACGAAGAGGACACTACTAATTACTTTTGTTTCGTCATACATGTATTTCTTTATATATTTTATTTATGTATGTGTATATTATTTATATGTATACCTTTAGTATTGGTATGTATATGTATTTAGTATTCATATAATATTTAACTCTCTTTTTATAGTGCGTCACCTACCTTTCCCTCACCTAATACTTTTATCTCCCAGGTTCAAGAGATCGCTTTGAGCAATAAGACCGCCTTTTGTTCGCATATTTTTCTTTCTTTCTTTTTTGTAATTATTTGTTCTTTTTTTTTATGCACAATAAAGAGTTTTTATTATTAATATTATTAAAAAAGGACAAATGAACTATAAAGTTACAATAAACCATTAGTTAAAGGGTCATAAACTAAGGGTAATATCGAAGCAGGGGCGGGGAGCGCCTTTGATCTTTTTCTAATTCACCTCGAAGCCTAATAAAAAAATTAAGGGCGATAACATACACCCACCGAGCCGATTTTACCTCCTTTTACCACTGCTCTGATTATGATGTTCATGATGTTGGTAAATTACAAAGACCTCACGTTACCAGCCCGACACGCGGGCCATATTCCTCGAGCATAATTAAAACAGTGTTAAATTGTGATAAACTAGTAAAATTGTGCTAGTACATAATGATCCATCTGATACGTACTGAAGAAACCCTCGGTGCATCAAAAGGCATGACTGGCCTAATTTCACGCTTCCGCACGTGATGATTTCCTAACATTTTGGTTAATATTTGGTTCAGTTAAAATTATGCGCTTGTTTTGCGTATCACATTTCATAGGCATTCATTTATAACTCTAATTATCTTAATATTAAGATCCATTATCACTAATTGAGTTTTTATTTGTTCTTCCTCCATTGTGTCATCATACTCGCCATATCAGTCTAAAAATGGGAACGGCAAGTAGACTGAACAACTTGCGTTATAATTATCTAGGTGACAAAGTGTAAATTTGCTTGTGTAAATATACACGTGCACGAGCAAGCTATAATGGGAATGAGGTGCGCAAGAGTCGAGAGAATTGTGACTTTGTTTATAGATTCGGGGCTTCCCCGCTTTGTCTTAATGCAAAACCTGTAATACCATACCATGCATTTGAAAGTGCGGGCAGTGTTTGTAAGTGTATTCAAACTGCAAATTTTCTCCGCCTATTTTTTTCGCATTTTTTTTTGTCATATTATTTCTATATGGATTGAACATGAATCGATCGATCGATCGATGATCGACTTAACATGGTACATTGCTATCAATGGCGTCACTAGTTTAGCTAGTAGGGATAATTTCTTACAAGGTTTTTGGGAAATTGTTAGGTGCTAAGACCGTAAGTAATGGGACCTGCATAGATCTATTGTCTTTGCCCTTTTTCAAAGTTCGCTACCTAGACCCGTCTGGGACAAGAATTGAAGGATATTCTTAGGAGCGATGGTTTGTATCTCTTCAGTATAAAGTGTATACTTTATACATGTGTGGGCTACAACCACATAGGATGTGTAGTGGCGTTTTCTCTTCAGCTTGGCAAAATTTGCAGAGTTGAATTGTTGTTTTTTTAGAACTAATAATTGATCTGTGAATACAGTGTACACACAATGCATTTTTTATGTTTTATAAACAAAAGGCCTTAGAATAGACGTTGCAGATTACATCATTGGTTCCCAATTGAATTTATAAATAAAAATGCTATGTATCAGACACGTTGTCCTTGACCGATTTGTTTTTGCTGTACCACACAGCTTTGTTTATGGTATCTACATCGATTTCCCTATATTTGACCGGGCGCCAACTTTTATGTATAGGTACTTGTTTCGCATCTATGAAGTTACATTTCGCCATCAGACTATGCCATAAAAAAATAGCTTATAACTAGTATTCTATGTAGATGACAGTTAAGAATTCTGTTTGTAAAAAGTGTTGAGTTCAATTCTGCGAAATGTTTTGCAATAATATGAGGTAAGGTTTCCTCGTCTGAATAATGAGATTATGAGCAGTCGCCATCGCCGCACCGTCGGTATCATGTATCAAATTATTTCCACGTTAATGTTTGTAGCGACTTCAAAATGGTGGCTTTTAAAAAGATATAACTTGAATTTTTAATATAATGACAGAATAATTTCCACAATACGATTATACCCTTTTAGTCCCTAATCCTAAAACCTCATCTAAGATACAGTAGGTATTAAACAGATGACGTAAATACTTAACCACATTTATCTATATATATGTCAATATACATAGAAAAACTACAGACCAATAGAAACAATCATACTCAGAAATACAATATTTGTATGCGAGAATCGAACCCGCGACCATCCGAAATGACCACTGAGGTCATAAAATAATAAGAAATACATAGAATAAGAAACAAACAATAACATGAGGCATCCTTGTATTAACACAATTAGGGCGGGTTTATTGCTGAAAGCAATTTTTTCAAGGCAACATTAGTAACAGATAGTAAACCGTT